CTTCTTCACCCCAGGCCGAGGTCGAATCCCAAAAACCTCCAGCATCTCCATCAGCGCAGGGGCATTCAACTTAATGAAGTTCGTGTTGGGGCGCACCTCCTCCCCATCCTTGCTGGGGCTCTGTGATCCGCGGCCTTTCGTTCTGGAACCTCCGCCGAATGAGCACGACGCGTTCCCACCTTCGGCATGGGCAGCAAAGGGGCACCCTGATCTAGGCTCGATCCTTGCCATGTGCCAATGAACGCTCATTCGAGCGATCGATCAAACATGGCGCAGGAGCCTGGCATCGAAGACGCTCGAGCTGTCCATAGCATCAGCTTGGCCTGTGAAAAAAGATCGATCTCGAGTGTGTGGACGCGGCTGGGGATAGGGTTAGGGCGGGCTGTGGCATACATGATGTGTCGACCCTGCCTGATCCCATGCCACTGGCCGCATCGATGGTCGCATCAGAGCCATGTGTGTTTTGTTGCATGCACCGATGCTGCTCAGAGTTTGTGTTGCTGATGATGCATCCTTAAAACTTATGCATGGATTTGCTAACGCTGTCATGTAAATTCCTGCAATGCTTTTTGCATGATCTTATGCCACATCTTTGCATCATCCATGATGCTTGATACTTCTCAGCAGCAACTGAGGTATGAAAAATCAATGTTTTGCAATATACGCCACTTACGCCAAATACGGCTATTTTCCACTGTGGCACTTAAAAACAAGCAGCTACGCCTTTCCAGGTAGTCGTTTATTGGACTTATGAACTTTTTTAAGTTGTGTTTAAGCTTTTAGTAAGTTATGTTACATGTTATCTACATATAGGTTTCGATAAGTTTTTGCTAACTTTGGGCAAGTCAAGCTAAGTCAGTGTAACTTCTGATAAGTTCTGCTAACTTTGTGTAACTTTTTTTGGCTTTTTCAGGTGGTTTTTTCGTGCGTCGCCTCGTAATCTTGCGCGCTGGAAACTGGCAATGTTTTGGCAGAAGCTTGCTGAAAGTTCGGCACAAAATCATTGCAAGGGAGCTTTTGGCCTTGGCCGAAATTGTCGTCGGAGAACTGTCCTTTTTGGCCCCAATGAAACGTGGAGACGCTATGTCTTGACGCTTGTGCCAAGAGTCGGTCTGCGCAGTCTGCTACGACTGCCACAAAGTGGCTTGAATGTTTTGAGGCACGATCAGGATTCGACAGCGGCTCACACAATGACGCGGGGGGACTGGGGCAACAAAGCAAGCACAACTTTGCAGTTGTTGTCGTTTGTGTTCTTTGGAGTTTTGGGAGTTGGCGTTGCTTGGTTAGTGTGACAACTTTTGAGATGGATTGTTCTTTTGGGATTGGCATCGCTTGCAGCAGTTTGCGCGTATTTGGAAGATTTTTGTTCTCAAAAAATTGGAATGGCTTGCTTCTTTTGAGTTTATGAGACTTGGGATGGCTTGCTCAGTGTGTGATGGTTTGGGCCCTGCTTCAAAAAAGCTTAGTTTCTGCGCTAGGAGGGCTGGAGCCCAGTCAGGCAGAGGCCTGGAGCTGTGCAATTTGAGGTGAATAAATGCACAAAAACTCTGAATAAATTCAGAACAATTCTGAAGTCAGGTCTTTCCCACTAAGTTTTTGGTTTTGACGAGTTCCGGAAAAATCTGAATGAACTCGTAAAAACTCAACAAAAAGAGAAAATTCTGAATAGCTTCAGAAAATTATGAATCCTAAGACATTTTTCCATTTGAGGAATTCAGAAAAATTCTGAAAAATTGGAAAAACCAACAAACAATCTGAATAAATCAATCTGAATTCAGGTCTTCCCCACTACATGTTTCCTTTTGAGGAGTTCAGAAAAATTCTGAATAAATTCAGACAAACTCAGAAAAAACAGAAAAACCGAAAAATTATGAATTCAAGTCTTTTCCAATACGTTTTTCCTTTTGAGGAGTTCAGAAAAATTCTGAGTAAATTCAGAAAAACTCAGAAAAATCAGAAAATTCGAAAAATTATGAATTCATGTCTTTTCCAATACATTTTTCCTTTTGAGGAGTTCAGAAAAATTCTGAGTAAATTCAAAAAAACTCCGAAAAATCAGAAAATCTGAATAAACTCAGAACAATTCTGAATTCAGGTCTTTCCCAATACATTTTTCCTTTTGAGGAATTCAGAAAAGTTTGAATAAATTCAGCAAAAAAATGAAGTCAGGTCTTTCCCAATGCATTTCTCCTTTTGAGGAGTTCAGATATTTCTGAACAAATTCAGAAAACTCTGAATTCACGGTTTTCACAATGCGGTTTTCCTCTTGAGGAGTTCAGAAAATTTGAAAAAACTAGAAAAACAGATAAATCTGAACGAATTTTAAAAATCTGAAATATTCAGAGTCAGGTCTTTCTCATTACATTTTTCCTTTTGTGGAGTTCATAAAAGTTCTGAATTCGGAAAATTTTGAACTCTGGTTTTTCCTCATACATTTTTGAGGAGAATAGCTTGCACTTTCCCATTCCGGGAGTTCAGAAAAGTTCTGAATAGATTTATGAAAGAAGTTTGAAGAAACAAATGGCGACATTGCAAAAAAGAACGTGCCCAAATTTGCGATTCATATCCCCAGAGAGACCAGGGGATATTCAATATCCAGAACCCTTTTGGACATTGAATTTCATCCCCTTGTTCGTCTAGAATTGTTGAGCGAAGCGCGTCTGCATGCCTTGCTTAGTGTGAGAACGTTCACTGTTTGCGCGAGTACGGGCTACCAACAAAATGCTGTTTGTTAGTCGTCGGTACCTTTCCATAACTTTTTGTAAGTTCTTATAATTTTTCCTGAGTGTTACTAACTGTTTTTACCAAAAAGTAAGTCAGAAGCACGAATTTACTAACTTCCGATAAATTGCTATAAGTGGTCGCTAAATGATCTTAGACAGCTACAAGTTCCGGCAAGTTTCGATAACCAGTGTATCTTGTCAGTAACTCCTGCGGCTGGTCTTAGTAGCTCGCTTCCTCCCCGACGCTGGCGACGTCGCTGCTGGGGCGCCGCCGCTGGGCGACGCCCGCTGGGCGCCGGACGCGTGAGGGCCGTTGTGTTTCACCCCAGCTGGACGGAAAAAGGCGTGTGAGAGGAAAAAAAATCAGAGGCTTTAGTAAAAACATCCCACTTCACGAAAAGCGGCCAACCGACCAAGTGGGCCAGTGACAGGCCCTGAGAAATATCCACTGGACAAAGAACGGCGGCAACACAGACAACATGCAAATTAGAAGTGCTACTCAAAACATCCTTCTTCAGGAAAAGGAGCAGCCAGACCAAGAAGGCCAGTGACAGGCCTTGAACAACATCAATCTGCACAAAAGAAAGTGACAGCCCCTGAAAAAAATCAAGCCGCGCAAAAAAGGGCGGCAGCCACACAACAAACCAGAAGCCCGGCGAAAACATCCCAGTTGAAAAATCACAAGAGACCAGAAGAGCAAGTGATCAGGAGACTAAGGAACATGATTGAAACGTGTCTTGTTTTTTGATGTCATATGTAGCCAGCTGATATCGGTCAAATTTCAGCGCCCGGTCGCAAAGAAAACTGTGCATGCTGTCGGGCCCCGACCCCGCCAGTTGTCGGGGCCCCGACCCCAGCAGTCGGGTCCCGACCCCGTCGGCGGTCGGGCCCCAACTCCGCCGGCGGTCGGGCCCCGACCCCGTCGGCGAACGGGCCCGACCCCGTCGGCGGTCGGGCCCCGACCCCATCGGCGGTCGAGCCGCGACCTTGCCAGCGGTCGGGCCCAGGTCGGGTGCCGACCCTGTCGGCGGTGGGGCCATGACCCCCTCGGCGGTCGCCCCTTCAATGGTTCTAATTCGCTTGTTGTCTGTAGCTGCCGCTGTGTTTTTGCAGCTAGCTTTTGTTTAGGGCCTGTCACTGGCCCGGGCTGATGCTTTTCGCGAAGGTTCATGCTTTTAGTAGGGCTTCCAATCTGCTGCTTGTTGTCTGTGGCTGCCTTTTTTGCGAAGTTGTTTTTCAGGGCCTGCTAGTTATGTCTGCTTGGTCGGGCTGCTGCTCTTCGTCAAGTGGGATGTTTTTAGTGGCGCTTATGATTTGTTGTTGTTCGCGGCTTGTTCTCAGGTCCTGTCACTGGTATGCTTGTTCAGGCAGCTGTTTTTCGTCAACTTTTTTTTTGCAAGTAGAGCTTCCAATTTGCTTGTTGTGTGTCGCTGCGCTTTGTGTTTTGCAGTTTGTTTTTGGCTTCGGGCCTGGCACTAACCCACCTGGTTGTTTCTCGATTGTTTTTTGTGCGGTTAGATTTCTTTCGCCTGTTGCTAGTCTGCTTGGTCGGGCTGCTGCTTTCTGAAAATGTTTTTTTTGGCGTAGGGCGTCTAATTTGCTTGTTGTGTGTGGCTGCCGTTTTGTTGTGCCTTTTCGTGAAGTGAGATCTTGCTTGTAGGGCTTGTAATTGTTCTTTTTGTGTGTGGCTGCCGTTTTGTTTTGCGCAGCTTGTTTTTCTTTCTGGGCCTACTTGTCGGGCTGATCATTTGCGTGAAGTGGGACGTCTTTCAGGAGGGCTCCTAATTTGCTTCTTGTGTGTGGGCGCATGTGGGCCGTTTTTTTTCCGCAGTTGGATTTTTTCGGGGTCTGCCATGGGCCTGCTTGGCTTTGGTCCCTTGCTGATGTTTGGGGCAAAACCAGGCAAGAACGGATTTTTATGTATATAGCGGGAGGTCCTCCTCCCCCCTACATAGGGGTCCCTCGAAATCCTGTTGGCTGATGAGGACACGCTGGCGCTGCTCGCGGCAGACAACTGCTCGCTCTCTCTTTCAATGTTTTTCCCTTTAAGCCTTGAGGCGCACTGTCCGCTTCCAACACATGTTGTGTCAGCCGAGGGTCATGCATGTTCTTTGTTCGGTTGCGTTTGCTGGCTTCTTTATTGTGAGCGCCTTTGGCACCGTCCATAGAAGCCTTGCGATGCTTGTGGTCAAGAAACACCCGTCGACGTGTTCAGGACGCGGTGGGTTGTGTGTTGACTTCGTGGACGCGCTTGGACAGCAACCCACTGGCTGCCGCAGCTTTGAAGCGCAAACATGGCGAGCAATTCCACTGATGGTGGCTCCAGTGCCTGATTTCGAGCTCGCCGAAAATGCCGCGGAGGCGGCTGACTTGCCGCCAGAGGTTTCCTGATGAAACGACCAGTACACAATTGCATTTACTTGGCGCGTTGTACATTTATCAATTGTGTTCCCTTCCCATGCTAGCCTTCTGTGAGTATTACCAGTCCTGGCGCCCACAACAAAAAGGAACGCATGTCCTTGGCACAGCTGCAAGCATTCTCCTTTCGCTGGCTCAGCATTTGGCAGGCCGAGTCCACCAAACCGGCGGCCCCGAAATGGTCGATGCCAAGGCTGGTCGCCAGTAGCAAGCGTGGAGGTGCCTTTTTGAGTAATCTTAATACCCAGGCAACTTGTGTTGTTGCTCGCTTGCCTTTGCATGTTGATATATGTAGGCCAAAAATGGAGTGCGTATGGCCTGCTTTCCCAAAGCCCACGCCGTGGCAGGGCAGGTCGCGAAGACGCCAAGAAGGTGCTCGTGTCAAAGAAACACTTGCTGGCAGCAGCCTCGGCAGCGTTGGGCCAGCAATGACAACGACGGTTCAAGGCGCACAAAAAACAATCAAGGCATAGAAGAACCCAGCACGCCCCAAGCAATGCTAGCAATCATCAGCCAGCCAATCTTTGTTAGATTGTTTTTCGGTTGGTTCGCATGTGTGTTGTTTTGCGAGTTAAGTTGTTTTGGTGTGATTTCATGTTTTGTTTTTGTTTGAATTTTGTTTGGTTGCGTGCTTGCTGTTTCATTGTGTTCTTCACTTTGTTGTTTGTGTGGTTCTCGTTGTGTTGTGTTTGATGTTTGTTTCGTTTGGACTGCCCGCTTTTCCAGTAGCACAACTAGCTTCTGGTTGCGTGTCTGCTTGCGTGATTTGGAATGTGTTTTTTGTTTTGCCGGGTCGCGCCCATTTGCGGCCGTGGAAGCTTGCGTGATACGAATGTCCCTGCCAACCGGGGCCATGGGCTGCATACCCGAAATTTTGACTGAACCTCATAATTACGCAAATTGGATTGTGGGGTGGGTTGTTAGCCGATATTGGCAAATGGTCTCCAACCACCAAACGCTCAAACAGAAACAGTGAGAACAACAAAATGACCCGCGTGCAGGCATGCAGCTGAAAACGCTGTCAGCGCCATTTACCATATTTGCAAGCCTTGTGAAGCAGAACAACGGCCGGTGGAAATGTAAGACTAATTATTTTCAAACAGAAACCTAGGGAAGGCTGGCTGGTTGGTTGGCTGGTTGGCTGGTTGGTTGTGGTCGGATAATTTGTTTGCTTATTTGTGTGGTTGTTTGAGTTTTGTGTTTGTTTGTGCGCGAGTTTGTTGTGACTGTGTTGTTGGTTTTCTGCTTTCCTTCTCACTTGCCTTGCTTGCATATGTTTGCGAAATTGTCTCGGCTGGTTTGGCGAAATTCTTTGATTTATGGAAATTTGAGGTCCGTGCTGTATTTCTTTCATCGCACTACATTGTTAGCCATTTCGCACCAAGGACTGCCTTGGCACCCATTCGCCGGGGCCTGGCGCCTACACGTTCGAGCCTTAAGGGCGTGAGGGCTGGTACTTGGCACGCGGCCTCGCGTAGGCGTGTGCGTTTCTTGTATAATGACGTGGTCTCCTGTAGGCGTTAGAATTGACGGTGCTGACTTCCGCGTAGGTTGGGGGGAGGCAGCAGTCCGGTATGAAGTATTCAACTGCTCACGCAACCTGCCTGCCTCAAGGCAGTCCCGCTTTCCGGCCAAGTCCTTCCTGCTTTCTTTTTCTCATGGCTCGTTGATTGATTTCCAAAATCAGCTAAGTTATTGATTTCACTTTTGGCTCTCACCACCCCCCCCCCCCTAATTTCGCATGACCCAGCCTGAGTCTTGGCGACACCACGTGCACTACCATGAATCTCTTAGTGCAAGGCTAGGTGCATGTTATGCCTCATGCATAACCACTTAGTTGTGGTGCCGCTGGCACTGTGAGGCTGTTTCCGTCATTGTTTGCCCGGGCTCATGCCCCCTTTGCCTGCTCCAGCGTATGAGGCCACAGCGGCAACGGAAGAGCCCGAGCTGCAGCTTCGGGACCGGGAAGGGGATAAACGCAAAGGCCCCCATCGCTTGTGCCATGCGCATGTCCGTTTTGTTTGCTTTTTGTATGTTTGTTTGTTTGGTTAGTTCGGTTGGCCGTTGGTTGGTGGGTTGGTTGGTTGGCTGGCTGGCTGCCTGGTGTTTGATTGTGTTTGCTTGCGCTTCTTGGGTCGGAAGTTTTCAGGTTTGTTTGCGGAGGCGGCCAACGTTTTCGACGCCAGCGTTCATGCGTAGCAATTGAACCGCGCTGGTTTCTTTCGGCCTGCGTTGTTTTGCGCAAGCGACGTTGGGCCAGACTTGTGTTCCTCTCAACTTGGTTCGAGCGCAAGTTGCCACAACTTGCAGTAGCAATCTTCCGACGATCAATCTGGAACATGTGGCCACACACTGACATTTCTATTGTTGTCAGTGGCGTTAGGGCATAGATCATCATAGGTCTCAATGTCACCCAAGGCAACAGCATCCATCTCCTTCCAAACAATCACCGCCGCGGGGAGTACATTGCTAAACACACCAAGCGGACCGAAGAGAGCATATTATGAAAGAGTCAGCCGCCGCCGTGGAAATTCGTAAGGCTCTTGTTTCTTTCCTTTGGTGTGTTTTTGCAGTCCCCGGACCCTTTAGCGAAGCCCTGTTTGTTTGGACGGGGTCACCGGGTTTCAAAATCAGTTGCAGCAGAGACAGGTTCCTTGTCCGCATGGACAGTAGAATCAACAAAACGCAGGCTAAACAGAAAACCAGCTATGGACTCACATGCCTGCTGAAGCGTATGGGCAAAGTCCAGCATAAGTACAAGGTTCCACCCAAGACCCATTCACACCTTGCAACTTGATTGCTCTTGGGTTGGATCTTTAGACTTTGTTTTCTTTTGGAAATCAAAGGTTGCCGTTAAACCCACAAAAACTTAGACATTTTCCATGAAACCCACAAATCAAACGAGCCACATTACACCCACCAAAAGAAACGCCGAACATTTCTTTGCAGAGGGGTCGTTGCAACCACGGCAGGCAGAACTTGTAGAACTCCCAGTGGTCGCGCAGGACTGGCCAGCGGCCCTGCTCTGCTCCCGCGCCCGCTGCCTAGGAGCCTTTTTTGCCCCCCATTGGTCGGGTACGTTGGTGGTTGTTTTTTTGCTGGCAACCATTTTTTGTCAAAAAGGAGTCTAGGGGAAGCATGGGTTAGGTTACCATTGAGGTAGGCTGCTGTCTTCTTTAGATCTTTTTTGTGTGTTTTTTTTTGATTGTTTGTCTGATCGGGATACCAAGAGGAAAACCACCGTGCGAGCCCCCCAAAAGATCCGGAGGCGGACACAATGCCGCCTTCCGACTTTCCCCCGGAAGCAGTCGCCCAAAATGACGCCCATTGTGTGGCCGCAAGTTTTTGTTTAATATTATGTTTGTTTTGTGTGTATTGCGTTTGTTTGCAGTAAGTTTTTTGATTTCATTTGTTGCGCCTGTTGTTCTTATTGAGGTGGTTCCGCATTTGGGTAGATTGTTTGCTCGCTGGCTGCCCTTCCTGTCAAGTGGGCAGAGCTGGCCCCGGCGATGGTTATTTTTGTTGTTGTCTGACTGCCCCACTGCCCAGAGACAGATGATGATTGCAAGTCAACGGCTCATATTTGTACTGAGTGTGGTGAGCTCGTGGTCTTTCGTCCTCTCGCGTTGCACATCCTCGTGGTGCATGTGCATCTAGCCACGTTTGGTTGTTCTGCGCTTCGCGGGTCCCACCTGGCCCAGGTCCCGCGCGCGAGCTTCGTGCCGCGCTTTGCTGGCGGAGATCGGACGGCCGAAGGCACGTGTTTCAACAGGGTGGCTTGTGCATGCGCTCTGGGTGCAGGGGGCTCAACGCATTGTTTTGCGGCAAGTGTGCCCCATCGCCTGGCCATGATATGCCTGTGTATGACGATCATGTACCCAAACGAGGAGTATATTCAAGGCTGTTTCGATGACGATACGGTTCGGTACCGCAAGCTCCGCGATACCACTCGATTTTATTGATCTGTATTGCATTGAATATCCGATAAACTTGCGATACAGCAGGGGAGTATTGAACAATATCTCGATAAAGGAATATACTCACCCGGCGCTGCGGCTGCGCGCTGGTGTGCAAGCTGTGCTGCCAACAGGCCGGGAACCTCGAATTCGGCGTGTTGTGTCGCCAAAAGCCCGAAAGAAGCAAGAATCAAGCCTGCACATCTGCAGGTGCCAGAGCCAGAGAGAATCCACTACACCAAAGTACTCTTACAAGCCTCCTCAAAAAAAGGTCTGAAATCGACATTGATTTTGGTTTGGTTGGAGCACTTGCCGAACCCTCAAAAACGATCTAACTCGCCGAGTTAGGTTGATTTCTGGCCTTGGCTGGTTGCAGCCGTCCCGGATGAGCCCTGAGAAGTGGGAACCCTCAAAAACGATCTAACTCGCCGAGTTAGGTTGATTTCTGGCCTTGGCTGGTTGCAGCTGTCCCGGATGAGCCCTGAGAAGTGGGAACCCTCAAAAACGATCTAACTCGCCGAGTTAGGTTGATTTCTGGCCTTGGCTGGTTGCAGCTGTCCCGGATGAGCCCTGAGAAGTGGGAACCCTCAAAAACGATCTAACTCGCCGAGTTAGGTTGATTTCTGGCCTCGGCTGGTTGCAGCTGTCCCGGATGAGCCCTGGAAGTGGGAACCCTCAAAAACGATCTAACTCGCCGAGTTAGGTTGATTTCTGGCCTTGGCTGGTTGCAGCTGTCCCGGATGAGCCCTGAGAAGTGGGAACCCTCAAAAAAGATAGGTTGATTTCTGGCCTTGGCTGGTTGCAGCTGTCCCGGATGAGCCCTGAGAAGTGGGAACCCTCAAAAACGATCTAACTCGCCGAGTTAGGTTGATTTCTGGCCTCGGCTGGTTGCAGCTGTCCGGATGAGCCCTGGGAAGTGTTCAACATGGAATTGGCTTGAAGCAGTCTCAGTCTGTTTTCTTGACTTTCCATTTCTCCAAAGAGGGTCTCTTCTAAGCAGCCTCTCAAAGACTTTGCCAGCGCCTCCCGTGCCAGGCAGCCACCAGCACAGCAGCAGCTGGCTGCCGCCCTTCTGGCCCCAAAGGGCCCCTCAAAGCAAACCCCAACCGATACCGATACAAATCGGTATGATTCAAAACGATTTGCAGCGATAGTCTTCGTTACGATGTGAGGTTGCGATACTTGCTTTTCGATACCGATAGCTCGCAATACGCAACGATACGATTCGGTATGTTGTATTTGTATTGTTGAAACGTTCATTGAAGTCTACGAATGGTGCACCATGGACTGGAGGATCTTGTTCCCACATCCAGGATCTCATCCGATATCATGTTACATTGGCAGTCCATGAACATGGGCCATACTCGGAAGTTGAGGCAGGCCCAGTTGTCCAGAACAACGCACCGTGTTGCTGATCGTTGAATTTCAATGGATCCCAACAGAATCAAAAGCAGGCAGGCACCATTTGTGATGAGTTTGGGCGTTCAAGTGACCAGGCTGACACGCTAGAGCTCGAATAACAAGGCTCCAATTTAAGGATCATCAGACGGAAGGGTAAGCAAGGGCGACTATGTTCACCTCCCACCAACTAACATGGGCGTAAAAAGACTACTCTTGAAAAGGGGTTTGTGCACTCCCAGGCTAATGTTGACCCAGGATTAATAAACCCGTCCCATTTATGGGGGGGGCGTCTAATAAGCCGGGGTTAACCTTAGTTTGCAGGCTGGGCAAACCCCAATTGCTTCAACGGGTCACCAAATGGGATGCGCGCCTCCCCGGATATTTCCGGCGGCATCGAGGAGGCGGATCTCCTGCCGCGGCCCGGGTCGGCGGTCATGGGCCGCGCCTCCAGGCGTGAAGTGTTTGATTGGGGAGTGTCCCCCCAGCAGGTGCCCATTCTCTCCCCTTGTTCACTTTCCGCGGATCAGATTGATCCTAGAAGCGCCTTTGTCTTAGTGAAAGGATCGCGCTCTTGTTTTAAAGGCACGCGGGCCACCAGAGGACGTGCAGTTTCTCCCCTTGTTTGGTTGGGAGGGAAAATTTCCTAATAAAATAGATGAAGCAGAAAAAAGTTGGTACCAACTTATTCTGACCTCTCTACTTGAGGGCTTAGTTGTGATCGAAAGTGCCCTTTTTTGAGGGATCACCGCTGTTGGAAGAAACACCCCCCCCTCCCCACCAAAATCATAGGAGGGGTGTCTTACTTGGTGTCTCCCAGCCATCCGGTTCCTTCGCTGTTTAGCTTTTTAGGGTTTGGTGGTAGTTAGCGGGGGATCTGAGAACAGCCAAGTTACTGCCAAGACAAGAAGTGTCCAAGATAGATCAGTGCCTTGAACCCTTGGTTGGTAGTTCCTTCACAATCCGAAGTCTCAATTCAACGCCTGGTGTTCCGTCACCTTCAGCTTCGATTAGCCAAGGTTCGGAATTTCCGTCAGCTCTAAGCCACATATCAGGGAAATCCTTTTTTTAGGGGATTCCTTGAAATTGATTGCCATTGCTTGCCCTTGTTTTAGGAGGGTTCCCCTCCACAAGTGATGGCTCCCCAATCCCCTAATAACAAACTGGGATTGATGAATCTGGGGCCGACATTAAGGAAAAGTTGGTTTTTTGAAAATGGGTAGGGGCACTGGGGCATAGGCCATTGCCTGGAACCATGACATTAGCTAGCGGTTGGCAGGGAGCCACAGAGCTTTTATCGAAATAGAGGGAGTCGGATTCTGACAATTTTGGGGCAGGTTTTAGAACCTATTTTAGTGGTTGGATTGGGATGTTCACCAAAAGTACGATTTGGATTTTGACCCATGGCCATTTTTTGTTTTTGCTGTGCTCCGTGCTAGTTTGAGCTAGAGGCAAGAGGCGTGCGTCGCCACTTGCAGCCAGGAACGTGGTGCCGCTGCAGCCAGATCTGCTGAGCCCTTAGTGCCATTTGTTTTCTGAAAACACGAGGTGGAGGGCGCTTTCCATGTGTTGGGTGGGATCACTTGTTGGGTGTGTTGGGTGGCGTTGGGATGCTCACCATGTGTGCTATACTTCCATTTGCCGAAATGTTTTTTGGTTTAAATGGGAACCTATCACTGCTGGACATATACACATTTATTTTTCCAGTGGCCTGAAGCAAGATGGCACGGACCTTGTAGTGCATACCTTTGAGGCAAAAAGCTCGCGTGTTTGTTTGGAGGCACTCTTTCCGCCCTTGAGGGTTGCCTCTCAAAACAAACCCGTGCCTGCACCAGCCTCAGAGACCTTGTGACGTCTTAGGTTGGTTTCGTTCGGTTTCTCATTGGGGGCCCCAAACTCCGACTTCAATGCGAGAAAGCAAGCAAGCAAGCGTGAGAGGTGCGTTAAATTTGTTTCTGCGCAACTTCTAGCAAGCTCACTCGGTCACCCAGTGTTTAAGCGATCTTCTGGCTCCATGTTGATGAATCAAGAGCCTTTTGCAAACGCGTAAGCCATATTTCTTCCCCGAGCAATTATCATGTTTTGCCACGTGTTTTGCTTCATTGAGTTCAACCTTGTGTTCTGTGTGGTTGGAGAGCATGTAAGTCCCAGCAAAATCAAGAAGGAGTCATGGCAGCCAGTGCTGGTCAGCAAAAACGTTGGGTGTGCCATGAGTTTTGGGTATGAGTTTGCCCATAGACCTTGTCAGAATCAAGCTGTTGGCTTTCCGGCCCGGCTAGGCAGATCTCCGGTGCGCAGGACTCGCCGGGCCCTTGCCGGGGGACCTGAAACAAAAAACAGGTTTGCTCCTTGGAGGTCTAGCGTAGGCGGGCGCTGAGGGAAATGGATGTGAAAAGATCTTCTGTTTTTTTTTTTTTTGGGGGGGCGGGCCTATTTTAAGACAAGCCCTTCATTTTCAGCTTTGACTTGGTTTGCGCAAATGCGTTTGTGCGTCCCCACCAGCCCGAGGTGTTGGTTTCAAACACGGCTGACTAGCCAATGTCGTTGCAGCGTATGCAAATGAAAGCGGTTCAGGCCACGCGCCCTTCAAAAGCATTGCCGTGGTTCATCGATTTCCTGGATTGTGGCGTCCTAAATCTGCATCGCAAGATGAACAGCAGCAGTCAGGCTAATTCATACCTAGTGAGGGTGCTTTTGCAGTCTTGCGGGATTGTCACCCAGTCTGTCTAAAAATGTGGAACCCCTTCATTGATGAGGAGGGTTCCCTATTCCCGGACACACACGAACACACTTTTGACTTGCGACGCCCTCCAAGGTTCTCAAAGGAATGCTGGCAACTGGTTTTGGCTGGGGCACTTCCACTTGCGAGGGCTGGCCAGCGTTCCAATGTTGCAAGCAATTTGTGCGGGCCCCTCGAAAGTCGTGCGCTTTCGCTGTGGCTAGCTGAGTTTATCGCCGCATGTTACCCTGGCAGTGAATCCACATTGTTGCGGCGTGCACGTTCAACGCCCTCATGGCTTCTTCTCTCCTGGACGCGCGTCAGGCCAAAAGGGAATCCGTGCCAAACCAGCTGTCCGAGATATAAGAGGCCCTACAACTGCACACACGGCTCCAAAATTCACACAATCAATTACGAGCTAGAACCATCAGGCGCAAAGTATGCCTTGCTTCTGGGAAATCAGGCTCGAACGGTCCCCAAGATGTTGCGGCTTGACTCAAAGCAACACGTTGAGCCCATTGCCTCCCTGTCCTGCAGGCTACAACCCCAAAGTGGGAGGAATCGGAACTCAGCCCGGCTACTCCATCAGGCCTTGGACAAGCGGGATGTGTTCCAATAGCGGGTCCCCATTTCCAAGACGCATCACATGCTGCAAGGAATATGCAGCGTGCCACTTCGTTTGTGTCATTGTTTTTTAAAGGGAATCCAACAGGAAAACCCGAATTGTGTAGAATATGTGTCAGTGTTCTGTCTTTAATGGGAATCTACCACGACTGGGAATATGTTATGTGTGTTTCCTCACGGGCGGGAAAAGCAAATGCATCCCCACAAATACTTTCCAGAGAGCTAACGCTAATTACATCAGGCAAGTTGTAGTTGCAAATCCCCAAAGGCGCACATTTGCAGCCGGGGATGCCGTTTGGATCCAATCGCAAGCAACAGATGGCCCACGAAAGTTCAACTCCCGGAAGGTCACCCAATGCCGATGTCAAAGCCGCGGTGTTGCGTCTTTTCGGCTGAAGCTGCAGGATTTGCATATGTTCAGCTAAAAGAAAAGGAGAGGACAGTTCTTTCGCTCCACAAGCGAAGGTTCCCTTATGAACTTAGAAAGCCCCCTATTCATCTACCTGGCGCCTTCAACTTCGTCGGGGCCGAAAAGGAGGTTGCCAGTTTGATCTGAATGGCCCCCGAAATGCAGAGCAACCTCTAAACCTGATCCATTTGTGCCGATTGTTCTCTTTCTAATTTGTTGGTGTCTTCCGAATTTCCGAATCGCAGGTCGCGCCCAGCAGGGTCCACGTCGCAGAGCAAAGTGGGCGCCTGGTCTCAGAATCGCCGGGTCGGTCGGCGGCGCCAGCGGGGTGGACTTAAGTCGTTCAATGGGCTACTTAAAAGAGCATTGTCGTAGTAGGTAGGTAAGAACCATGGTTCTAACCCACTTGCCATGAAGTGATTTATAGCAGGCGTGCTAAGTGCACTGCCTCTTTAAGTAGCTAGTGAGTGGGCTTGCAAGACTGCTGTCAAATGAGCTTGGTGGCCAGTCCTCAGTGTTTTTTTTTTTTTTTTTTCTGGGATACCCCTCTTCAAGCATGTTTGACTTCTTTTTGCAAGGGGCATGGCTCTTGAACCCCGTTTCGCCCACCCGATGTCCATCTGCTAGGCCCTGGCTCCTACCCGGTGCACCGACCAGAACACTTAAGAAGCCGGTCCACTTGGCCCACCGGCGCCTCGACCACACCGAGTTCGAGGCATTTTTTGGGGGAGGGGGCGGGCCGAACGCCCCGCTGGGTGGTGCCCGGTCCTCCGCTTCCTTAGTCTTTTTTTTACTCAGCCCAGGAGGTCGGTGCAGGAACAGCGTCGGAAAGTTCACAGGTTAGAACATGACCTACCTCAGAACATTGCGCAACTCAAACAGCCAGAATGGGCCATAAGTTGCACGTGTGCAGAACAAGGAGTAGCTCCCCAATGATTCATACTGAATACAAGCAGCACAGAGAGAGTGTTTTCCCTCATGCGGCTCACGTGTCTCGGCAGATTCTATTGGGCTCCCGAAGGCCCCTTTCTGCGTGGGTGGGAAGCTTGGTGAACCTGCGCAGCATGCCCTAACTTAGCTTCAACTTGTCGAGCCTTCCCTGGCCAAGACCAGAAAGGCTGCCTGTAGGGCTTCCAGCAAACGCGGCAAGGGCTCTTTGCGCAGCAGCGGTGGTTTCTTTGCATGAGCTCAAGCGCACAAATGTCGAAATGTGTGCCTCAAAATCAGGGACCCCCCAAAAAACTGGCGGGTTTTGGGTTGGAACCTACTTTGTGGCTTTTTCCGAGGCCCGCGGTGGACAATGCCTCGCCAAGATCGCCAGGGCCCGATCGCGCCTGTTGCGGGGTTGTGGATGGACAAAATCTATGTTGCACAGCTTTGAAACCATGTTTGAAACCAGTCCTTTGTTGGAAATTACAGGGGAATCATCAGAACTTCGTATTTCTTTGGCCGAAATCCTGCAGAGAGGATGTCATACGACATGTGAATACGTATGATTCGTTTGAGTCAATCAGAGCGCCAGGCCATCAATTCGACTGCTGAGATCTCGTAGCTCAGCGACCTCTCCGCTGAGGTTGGCAGCGGTCACGGCAACGATCTGCAGCAACCACCAGGCATGATCCCGCCTGGACGCGTGTGCTGTCGCAAGCATATCCTGGTTGTTGTTGGGAAACATTTTACATGTTTGCTTATTGTGGTTTAGTGGGAAATCCCAACTTAATTGCTGGAATTTAAATGTTTGCTCCCCTTCCAACGTCAACCAAGATATTTTGAAGTGAGCACATAGATGAAGTTGGAGCACCATGCGTATCATGTCACTGGAGGCCTGTTGATCATGTGGACAAATGCCAGCAGACGGCAGACTCACCTGTTGAGTTGGCGAGGCTTTAAGCTTCGGCTTCTTCATGTTTTTTTTGAAGGCCCAAAAAGTAAACTTGTCCCAGCAGCAGGTCAGGAATGGTCAGGATCTTGCAGGTCGACATTCAGAATGTCAGAATGTCAGAATATAGTGCGAGTTATCGTTTCACATGTTTGCAGGTTTCTGACTGGCACAGTGAGCAAGACTGGGCTCGGCCAAAATTCCGCCTTCGGGACCCAACAATTGCATGGTTGTTGTTGGGACACATTTGAAACAAATTTTTGCTTCTTGTGGCTCAGTGGTTGAAATCCAAATCCACTAAACTGCCAAAAGTTGCGATTTTGTTTGCTCCGTTGCTCCCCTGACGTCAAAAATTGGTGCGCGGGTTGGGGGAAAAGGTTTGCTTCTGCTCCCACAGCCTGTTGCATCCAACACCACCCCCTGGACAAATGGAATTGGGGGAGGGGGGGGTTTGGCCTGGAATTTTGCATCTTTTGTGGGATGGAACTGTGGGGGGGGCGGGGCTGGAATTGCGGAAGTCCATATTTTGTGGGGAAGACTGAATAAATGGAAGTGTGGGACCCAGGGAAGATCCGTTTGCAAAGTGTCACTAGGTCCCCCCCGCTGCCCGTTCTCACCCATTTCTTTTGTGGGTGGGAAGGTGCCCCTACTAAAATAGACCACAGAAAACAAAGGTACCCTGATTCTAACCTCTCTACTGGAGGACCTAGGTCATCATCCACGAGGGGTTCGAGCGTTTGCTTGTGTTTGCTTCTCTTGCTTGTCTCGCCGCGCCACGTTGGCGAGGTCCGTCGTGTAAGATGGATTTGTAGCACAGGCACACGCACACACACCACTTGAGGTTTGCCTAAGCGGCATCTTCCAGACAATTTGGCAAACACGTTGCGGCTTCGAGTCTCGGAATGCATTTCTTTCCTGAAGGTATGCAAGCCAAACTGGTCAACTTGCAGGAGTCGTGTGTTTATACTTTGCAGGTCCCTCACAATCCCATGTAGGCGGCACCCTTGGAATGATGGTCTTCCTTTTGGGTTTTATTACAGCAAAACGACAACGACAATGGGGGCCCTCAACAAAAAAAGGCATGGCTCCTTCCAGGAGCTATTGGCATCCAATTTTTCCAACTGAAAGAGGGAGCCTTGTGGAGCTACCGATTGGAGTTCTGGTTAGTTCCCAACATTTGACCCGTTTGGGTGTGTCTCAAAATAGGCGACCCCCCCAAAAACAAAATGACCGGAACCCCTCAAAAGTTGTGAAGCTATAAGTTGTCCTTTGAGACCCACCCGCCCAAAAAAAAAATGAAGGTGATCCCCTGCTTGTTGCGCAGGCCTTCTGAGAGCCGGCGGGGAGCCCAATCAGCGAGTTGCTGAAAGGATTCGCGGAAGCCCCCAAAACCCAACCCGAACCCGATTGGAACACTTCCATTTCCTGAGCATGTGCTGTGTTCTGCTGTTGAAGGGAATCGATCACTACTGGAAATATGTTTTTATTGTTTTCGGGAGGCTTTTTCAAATGGAAGAAGACTGCATGGGGGTAACCATCCTGAGAGTGATTAGAGGCTTTAAATTGCAATGAAAAAATCGGTTGACCTTCAGATCAACACACATGGAACCTTTTTTGAGACCGGGAAACCTCAGACGCCAAGGGACGCAACCGTTTCTGGGTGGTTTACTAGGCGCTGCGATCTCGGCCCTGCCTCGTTCCAAGGCGGGACGCTTGCGCGACTTGCGCGGGGCCTTCTCAGCAGTTGCCCTCGTCGGAGTCGCTGTGAATGCACGTGCCGCCGCTTAGACACGGGCCCTCATATTTTTCCGTTCTTGCGTGGTGAAGCACTAGCCTTTCGTTGCCATTGTGGGGTGAGTTTCTTGTTGACCTGGTTCATAGGTTTTTGGTGCTCACGAGAGGTTCCATGCACGTGTGCTGCTTGAGAGTGAAAGGCGCGCCGGTTTCACCAGGTTTTGGAAAGTCAATCAGGGAACAGGGACCGTGTGGTTGCCTTGTGTGGGCAAGGGGTTAGATGTTGAGCAGGGCCTTGGGAAGGAACTTTTCGGGACTAGAAGTTTCCCAAAGCCGACCCTCCTCTTGCTTGGGGTTGGTAGGACGTGATTTAGTTGGGGTTGGTTGAAAGGGAAACCTCAAGGAAAACCACCCATTTGGCCGGGGGGGGGGGGGGGATACCCTTGTTTGGAGACAAATCCACTCATGTACAATATGGTATAATATGTGTGCATCTGAAAAGTGAGGCATATATATATATATATATATGCACACCATTGTAGGTGTTCACTATTCATGTTGCTATCATGTTGATGAGGTTTATTATCATTGCATGAATTGAATTACCATTGTTATATAAACATGTATGTATCGCACTATCTACCATTCAGTTAGCCCTTTTGTAAGGATAGCTCCTCCTAGAGACTCATCTTCGGATGGGTGCTACCTTTAGGGTACCAAGTTCGTGCACTGATTTTCTGTTTGGGAAGGCCACCCGAGTGGCAAAGGCACGCGCAGGAAGCACTAGGGGATCCTTCGAAGCATGAGCAGTCAATGAACCAAAGCCAGGACTGGAAAAACGGTGTTGCTAAGTGCTATGTGGCAATTTGGATGCTGTCCTGGATCATGAAGCATGGCGAGTCGCAAATGAACCAACAATAGCCATCAAACGTCACATGGCCACGTGACCGTTTGATGCGTTTTTGGGGTATGCCCCCCCCCCCCCTTTGCCTGCCTGACGTCATTATGAATATTTACCAAATGTTTTGCTTTGTGAATACAATCGATTTGTTTTTGTTAAACAAAAAGACACTTTTAAGATTGAGCGATGCGTTGGTCGTTCGACACCAACGAAGCTCTCCGTTGCTTCCCCGCAAGTGGCGGAAGAACTGCGAGGGGCCCATGGACCCGGCGAACCCGCTCGAGGCTCCGCCCGCCTTCAGCTTCGGCCGGGCGAAGCGGGAGGCGCGGAGTTTCCGAGTCAGCTGAATGCGGGGGAAACGACCTGTGGTTGCGAAATCCAGACATCGCACCAGCTAAGACACCCTGCTTTCTGATGATTCCCTGGACACAACAAATGTTATGGTGTCCCAGAGTTTTAAAGTGGGGCAGGATTCGCAGTAGGTCGAAGATACTGTGGATGGGAAAGCTTGGGACGATTTTCCCCTCTAAAAACCAACAAAACAATAGTTCTGCTTTCAAAGTGCAGGATTTGTCCATCCACAGTATCTTCGAGCTACTGCGAATCCTGCCCCACTTTAAAACTATGGGACGCCATAACATTTGTTGGTGTGTACAGGGAATCATCAGAAACCAGGGTGCCTTAGCTGGTGCAGGATTTCGTCCATCCACAGTGCGGTTTGGGGGAAATGAGTATTTTCCTTCAATGTTGTTGGCACGTTTCTAGGTGGTTGTTTTGTTTTTTTCCGTTAGTGGAATCTGCGATTGGTTTTGCGAAATCCAGAAATCGTACCAGTGTTTAGAAACCCTTGGTGACCCCTTTGCAAGCACCAACAAACAAACAATCAAACACACAAACCATGATGTCCTGCGGTTTAAGCGAGATTAGTTGTTGTTCCAACCAAGCAACAAGTTCACTAAGCAACAAGTGAGACCGAAAAGCAGGAAAGAATTGCCAACCGTTGTTTCTTTCGTTAGGGGGTTCCTCTAAGATCTTCGCAAAGCCGTCGGTATGTTTTCTTGGGGGGGGCCTTCCCTTTAGCATTTGCTACATGTGTTTTTGTCCATTTGTTTCCCCACAAAAACCTGGGGCTAAGAAGGGGATTCCTCTCTGTTTTGAGACCAAAGTCTGAACAGTGTGGAACTTGTTCCTTGTTCCTTGTTCCTCCTTTGGCTATGACTAATAGCAACTCGGTTGGATCTTTGGACTTTGACTTTGTGGGGAAACACTGGATTTTCCATTGGACCCACGCAAAGTTCAACTTTTGCAGAGGGGGGCAGCAACCACCGCTCCCATGGCCATGGAACCCACGTATTCCAGTCAGCTTCCAAGTTGGGCGGCGACATGAAACCCGCACGAGACGGATGCAGAGGCAAGCGCCAGTTGCCCCGCTTGTCACCCATTGAGTCACCTTTTGTTTTGGCAGCCGCGCCTTTCAGAGCAACACAACAGCAACTCTTTGCGTCAAATATAGGCTTTCGGCAAGGCTTTCATCTTGAAACATCCCGTGCCAAGAATTCAGCATGTTGTTCAGTACCGTACCCATTTTCCGTTCAGTACCCATTTGCCAGACACTTGTGTTTCTTCTCTAGTTGCATTTAGCCGGGTCATGGTCACGACAGTTAAGATCAATTTACTCCATTCGTGTACATGATGCTGTTTACTAGAGAGAGAGCAACTTGTTGGTAGTTTGGGTAGCCTTTGCTCGGAGCATCTATTTTCAAGAGCTGTTCCACGGCGGCTTGAAAGGGAAATCGAGTTCCCACGCGCATGTAATATTGGTGGATGCGTGTTTCATTCCCTTGTTTGGCGGCTTGGAAAGGGGAAGATCCAGAGAACATTATGGTGAGCTTATCCCGAGGGAAAACTGTAGAACGAGCTCACCAATGGTTGATTGGTTTTTTGCAGCGGTTTCCCTGCTTTAGGTTTGTGAACTGCTTGGGAATTTCCTGCCCAGAATGATGCATGCTTCCAAGATCTAAACTGCTCTCTTGCCGCCAGATGGCTGCGAGCCGGCAAAGGCCGGCGGTGGGTTTGTGAGCCACTTTCGGGCCCCCCCTCCTTTGGCCTGCTTGCATGTTCAATCCCTGCAGGCTTTGGGACATCGTTGTCTGTAGCACCTAAAGTTTGATAAATCGCAAGCTAGCATACGCAGCATCAAGCGATGAACGGGGCGTGTGCTTTTCAGCAGCCTGGCGAGAAACGTTCAACCGCCCTGTCTACGACACATGTAGACATTACTAGTCTACATGTCTACCTAACCTAATCTAATCTAGCATATCTTTCTCTTGTCTCATCCCATCCTATGTGATGTTTCTGTCTGTTGTAAATCTATTTGACCTGATATGATATACAAATCTGTATTAGCGTGTCTTATCATGTCTTGTCTTATGCCTACATACCCACAGGTATGCCGCTGTCAACTTTTGAGAGGGTGCGCAACGGGCTTCGAATATCTTGAGAAGCGCCTCCTTCTTTGATATACCCTCCATATTCTGAAGCCGAGATGGTGCGTGTCTGGTGGTGCGTTGTGTACAACATTTCGCATCACCCAGGTGTAAAACCGGTTCGAATTGACGGGATTGACCATTGGCATAATGTCAACCAGGGCTTTCAATCTAGAATGCACACCGTAATCTCGAAAGGGCTCGTGTGGATGGGACTTGTAAAATGTACCGTGTCATGCCTGAGTGCTGAGTGTGGGTGGACAGGGGGCCAACGAAAAGCAAGGCATTTCCTTGCCAGAATCCAATTAAGCCCCTCCTTGTGTCCCTTGCAAGGCCACACTCCAACGAGTCTTTTGCAGGGAGGTAAGCTTAGGGCTGTTTGTGTGGGCTGGCGGCAGGTCGGATCTCCGCATTCCGTGCCGGGCCCTCGACAAGGAGTCGCTCATTTGTTGCGGGAATACTGTTCAAGGATAGGGCAAGCATACGCAAACATCAATCGAAGACACATGTCCAGGGGTCATCGGGGTTCCTTGATTTGGGACATGGCCCGCATGCGGTGGCTTTAGCCTTTCCCGCATTTGCGCGCATCAGCGTGCGTTTCTTTGGGGCTCACCGGGTTTGCCATGGCTACCACTGGCGAAGCTTCACGGACGGGTTCCATGGCGGAATGGTACGTGCTCCCTGCCTCCGCTGAAAGAAGAAGAGAGGGAGACAGAGAGCGGGAGGGAGAAATGATATTGATCCCCAGGGTTCAATCCCCATCAAAAGAATGGCAAGGACCTAGTTTCCATGATGCGTGACTCCTGAACGGTACATCATTGTGGCTACATCATCCCCATTCCTATTAGTTGGCTTGAATTCCAGGGGGTCGTGACTCGATGGCGGTGTGTGCCGCTCATACGGTAGGTGGGTAGCTAGGCAGGCGGCGCAACTCACAAAAATGGTACAGGTTGATGAATTTGCGCGTCCACCTGTCCAAAATGTTTCGAACCCAACAACTGGGTTTCCTAGATGTATGCTTTTCATGTTCATGTGCTCCAGTGTTTTCGGCTGTAGGTTCCGATCCCAAAAAGGGTTTGTTTGTGGGATCTCCTTTTCTGCCATGTTCTTGGGATTTTGCGCTTGGCTCCGAAAAAATCCTCCCAAAAGTCAGCTTCCCTCTATCTTTGGTTTTGGAGCCCTGGATGTGAACTTGAAGCCCTGGCTTTTGCAGGAGCCCGGTATGGATCAGTGGATTTGAACCTGAAGCCTTGGAAGCCCAACCGACCGGAGGCCCTGAGCTGCCGGAGTCACTGGACCGGCCCTTGCGGCCCTTCCATGAAGAGGTCCCTCTGTGGCGGGAAGGCATCACCCCCTTAGACATGGAATTGGGGAGGGGGATCATTCCGGGTATGGATCCATTGTCCCCTTTCGTGGGAAGACTGGATGACTAGAGAAAGAATTGGGGAGGGCGTTCCCAAGTGCAAAATGCAGGGCTTGCGCAGCATTTTGCTCGGGAATCGCCGGCAGCAACAAACCAATGCAAAAAATGCGGACTCGCTTCCTGTAACTCCTTAAGAATGAAATCGGGGCAGGGGGTGACCTCTGCATTTCTGGTTCCATCTTCGCTTCTCATGGGGGAGGCTAGAGACATGGAATTTGGGAACCTCCCGCCCACCTCCCCAGAAGGTAGGGGGGATGTTGGAACGCAACGAGTTCAAGGGCACTTCTTAGTCAGAGCCCCCAGACTCCCAAAGGGAACTCCCTGAGCCCCAGTGGTCCATGGACCTATTTAGTAGGCAACTAAGGGAACTCTTTAAAAGGGTGCTTGCACCTCGAAACGAGTTGCTTGCTCCACCATTAAGCCTAAAAGTGGGACATTCTTTGGAAGCACACCACCTAGAGGAGTTGGTCCCCAATTTGAGAAACCCGCCCCGGGCAAGCCACTATGGTATGTAACCCTTCGTGGAAGGGTGGGACACCCCTTCGTTTGGTTACCTGGGGGGATGGAATCACTGTTTATTGTTTTGGCAAAGCTCTGAGCACGGCCTCTGTACGAACCTCGAAAGAAAACTTGGGTCAGCTGATTGCAAAGGGGATTGCAGTTGGGTGTAAGCAGATGGCACAATTCCAGCCCCCTTTAACCCACATCTACCGGGAATCGTGCCATCCACATTTCTTGTGGTGGGGAGGGGAACAGGCTTCCCAAAGTTCACTCCATTTGGGGGTTTAAAGCTTGCGTTGCCCGTTGGAAGGAAACCCGAAACCAACCCGAAGCATCTCTTGAGCCCTTGAGTCAGGAGGGCGGCCACGGAAGTTGTCCGGAGCGTAGCTTGCAGGTCAAAACCATGCCGGGCGGCAACCACTGAGCTGAGCGCTGGCCATCCGGTAACCCCCCCACCCCCAAAAAAAAGAAGAGGAAACAACAAGAACGGCAACGCTTTCCTTTCAGCTTGCCTTTATCTCAAAGAAAAACATGGAACAGATGCACCCAGGTGCTGCTTAACTTAGAAAAAGCGCCAAACACATTTTCCCCCCCTGTTGTTCCCCATTTAAGGTGCGGCTTCTACCGAAATGGCAGGCCCCCCTTTGTGTTCAAGGGGGAGCCAACTATTTTGCAGACAGGTTTCTATTTTTCCGAAACGCCCAGAGAAGCAAAGAGAACATTGAACTTGCCAAGGGGGTGGTAGAAGAGAATCCAAACCCGCCGTAGGAATCCCTCAAGTGCCAACTGGTTTAGATCTTAAGTCATGAAGAGAGCTGAGAGCCGGGTTCATTGTTCAACTTGGGGACATCTAGTGGGCCTTTGAGCGTCACCAGCACCATTCTCACAGTTCCAGCGGCCAAGAGCCCAGGCAGCTTTGCGCGGCTTTGTTCCAGGGCCCGGCTCCAGGCCAGCATGACATACACATCTCTTGGCCTTTGAACAGCAGAGGCCTGACCTCGCCAAGCGACCTCTCAAAATTCGCGTTGGCGCGCCAGTCAACTTGCAGACTCCTCACTGCTCACCAGGGGTCGGTGCGTTTTCTTGCTCGGCTTTCGGGGATTTGCACAACCACGTCCCCTGGCATATTGTGCTCGTGTCTTCTCTGTGTTGTGTTTTGCCTTCTTCCCAAATCAGTCTCAAACGCAACGGCTGTTGATCCGCTTGGCTGCCACTGGCGAGAAGGGATACCCGATCTTGGCCATCGAACGCCGGCACATCGCCTGCAACCTTTTGAGAGAACACCCAACTTGTTTGGGATTCCAGCTTTATTTGTTTGGTGAGTCTCTTTTCAGGGGGCCCCACAAATGGTTGGTTGTCCTTGGGGTTTCCCTTCAAACCAACCCCAAAGAAGGGTATCCTTAACACATGTTTGGTTTCCCTTGAAACCAACAAAAATAATCAAAACAAAAATCAAGAAATAACAGACAAATCAGACACACCATTCCATGTAGAGCCCGCAGGTTGACGAGCGCGAGATACCTTGCGATCCAAATCCTCCGATGGAATCTGGCTCAAGGGCTGCCTTCGATTCGACGACCAGCGCAGTTCCAGAGATGCCAGCTGGGACCCTAGATCGGGAGCAATTTCGAGCGAGCCCTTCCAGGTGTTTTTGTGTCCCTCTTTTTTGTGTTTAATTATGGTTATTTACTGGTTGGTTTTCTTGGGAATTTATCACTATTTTTATTTTATATTCTAGGGGTTGATTCCAACCATTCTTTTCAAAAACCTGCTGTTTCCCTCAGTTTTTGATGGTTCCTGAAAAGAAGGATCCCTGGAAAGAATGGGGAAGGCACTCCTTGAAATACCTACTTGTTAGTTTTAAAGGAAATCGATTTCACCGCTGCAAAAGGTTTTCTTCTGTTTGCTTGATAGTATTTGTGTTTGCTTAAGAATATGTCGCTTTTTTCCTCTTGTTGGTTTTAAATGCTGTGTTGTTTCCAGGGGAAAATGCAAATGGAAGAGCCCCAGCAATCCCTGGCACGTGTTTTTTTTGTCCTTCGGTCAAGGCTTTTGGAGGGGGGTCCCTGTAAAATTGACTAAAGAGATCCGGGGAAACAGGCTACAAGAAGAAAACTGCCGCTGAGATCAGGTTGTTCTGAGCCAAGTGGGCAATCGGGATTCGAAGTTCCAAACCGTAATGCAGCAACATTTGCCCCATGAGTTCCTTTTTTGTGAGTGACTATGCAAGAACAGGCCGCGCGCCTCATAACCTTTGTCTACAAGCCCTGTGCTTCTACTTGGTTTGTTTGGGCATCCCCCCAATTTGGCGACACCTGCAGAGATTCGGGCAGTGGGGGCAAACCTTTGCGCCCAAGCCTTACGTGACCATGATTCCATTCTTGGTCTTAAGCCCTGGTTACTTGGCTGGGATTGAGCCTACCCTGATGTAAACAAGAAATGAAGCCTTGCTCAGTCACAATGGTAAAGATGTTTTGGAATCATTGTAAAAATTGCACTCATGCATGTAGCATTCTGGCAACGACAGGTGGCCGGCCGATGTAAGTGTCCAGACACCAGCTACAAACCGTGGTTTTGCTAATGCACTGCCGAGTGTGGCCAACTGGTAAGCCACGAACAAATGCATGTTCCCCAAGGCTCATGACCCCTCCAATGCAGGGCCCCGGGCCCTCCAATGAAGAACCCGGACCAATTCCTCAGGGGCCCTGGAAAACCACGCATTTTGAGAGCCCAAGAAGCATCGGGAGCCTTAGGGTTGATGTTTTAACTCCTGGTCAGTTTTTTTCGGACGTAGCGCTCCAACTTGTTGCCGGGCCGTCAATCCAAAACATCCACAGTCCCGAAATCAAGCATGCCTAAGTAGAACCCCTGCCCCCAAATCCCCTCTAAAATGAACCAAACAAAGGAGGGATTTCCCAACAAAGGGTCTCTGGGTTTTGACCCACATCCATTTCTTCCCATTCAACTGCAACAAAGCCCATTCTGCGATGCATTTTGCGGCCACCGCCTCAGGTCGAATCAAAGAAGACCAAGACCAAGACACTCGGCAGATCTCGACAGATTGGCGATCACTAGGTCCCCCAGATAGGTACCCTTTTCCCGTTTCTTTTTTGGGGGAGGGTTCCACTGACAAAAACGGGTACCCCTTATTCTAACCTTCTACTGGAGGACCTAGATCATCTCCAGAATGGAGTGCATGTGCTGAAATCGGTATTTTGTTTTTTGCGTGTGTGATTGTGCAGGGAGATTGATCTGTTGCACTTGGCCAGGGTTTTTGTCAGCCCCTGCCCCAAGCCGAGCATTTTGAGGTTCCATATGGGCCCATATTCAAAAATCCATGGTGAATAATAAAATCAAACATGGGCCAGAATCTGAATAGGGCATGTTGCGTGGGCTAAAGCTGAGGTGGTCTGAATGGCCCCTTTGTTCCTCCCATCAGGTCTCGTGAACGGAAACAGGCCTGAAACCACACCCTTCATGTGGACACCATTTGGGTCCCCCAGTAGTACCCTTTTACTCATTTTTGGGGGAGGGTTCCCCTACTAAAATAGACTACAGAAAAAGTTGGTACCCTTATTCTACTGGAGGACCTAGACGTTCTTCAATCGTTTTTCAAGAGGCGGGAGCTCAACAACTGCCACCACCGGGCTGAATCTGCAACACCGCCCTTCGCATTTTTCACCCTAAGATTTCATGTCTCACCCGATCTCACGCAACTTGTTGTTTTTGTTTTGCAATCTCTTTGGAAAGCACAGGAAAAGGGAGGAGTCGGAAGAGCCGCCCAAGAAGAAGACCACCACCAAGAAGAAGGAGGCGGAGCGCTCAAAACTCGCGAAGCGCTCCTTAGCCCACCGATTTGGAGTAAACCGCTCTGCAGGTGTTGGGCAGTTGTGCTTTCAGCTCCTGAGTTCCGTTTTGGACTTGAGTCACTTCTCCCCCAGCGCCCTTTCTCAGTCCTTTTTTGGGGGAGGGCTCCCCTACTAAAATAGACTACAGAAAAAAAGGGTACCTTTGTTCTAACCTCTCTACTGGAGGACCTAGCTTGGAAAGACCGACATGTGGGTGGACAAAAACAGTGTAGACTTTTTGGGCCAATCCAGGAAGTGAGGTTATTCAAGTCTTTGTGCTTCTCACAGCTCGCTGGTGGCCGGAGGGGAGCTAAGGAGCTGGGGGTGCGCAAATGTTTGCCTTCAAAGAGGGAGAGAGAGAAAGAGGGAGCTAAGGAGCTACCAGGAGTGCAAGGATATGGTAGTTAATTGTTTGGCATTTCTCAGATCGGACCTGCGCGATCGCGATTTTTTAGTCTTTGGGCTTCCCTTCTCCAGCCAACCCCGTTTCCGGTTTTGTCCGTTCCCGATCCGAAGCCCCAGAATTTGGCGAGATGTCCAGCTTGAACCGGACAAATCGAGAGCGGAGGCTGAGAGCACCAAGAAGAAGGAGGTGGTGAAGTCTCGGAAGCGAGAGGCCTCCGAAGAGCCCAAGAAGAAGAGCTCCACGAGGAAGAAGAAGGAGCTTTGGGGGAAAAACGGAGAAACAAACCTCCGCAAGATCCGCGCTTTCATAGGTGACCAACTTTTAGGTGAGCCTGGTCAAAAATAGATGGGCTTCCACTGGTTTACGTGGGTTTTGTTCCATTTACTAGCCATCTGTTTTTCCAAAAGGCCACCTATGCGCACATTTGAGCTGGGGGTCTCCAAATTGGCCTTAAGGAGAGGGCTAAGGAGCTACCGATCGGAGTCCTGCAGGGACATGGTAGGCAATCCCTGCGGGGTTGCTGAAAATACATCCTTTCTCCTTGTGTCGTCCTGCGTTTGCCTCTTCTTGACACGGTGGCACCGTGTCAAACGCTCACATCCTGTTGCACCCAGGCCCTCCAGGGCTTGGCTCCCCAATGGTGGTGTTTCTCCTGGCTTCTTGGCTCGCTACTTGGTCCCCCAGCAATTGGTGCCCTTTCTCACCCATTTCTTTTTTGGTTGGGAGATTCGGTTCCCCTGCTAAAATAGACCGAACAAGTTGGACCCTTACTCTAACCTCTCTACTGGAGGACTTAGGCTACTTGGTCAGCATTTGGCGTTTGCATTTAACATGCTGCAGGAGGAAGAAACTCCCAAGAAGAAGGCGGCGGGTTTGCGAGAGAACGCATGCGGCATCTCGGTGTTCGTTGGCCGGGGCATTGCTAGGTTCTAACTAGCCCCCCATCTTTTCATTTTCCCAAAGGAGCCACCATGGTTGTTGGGAAGCATTTTGCATTTTGTTTTTTGTGGCTTAGTGGGAAATCCCCTCTTATTTGCTAAAATTTGTTTTTTGTTGCTTCCCTTCCAACGTCAACCAAGCAAAATGGGCATGGGTGAAGCACGCAGATCTCGAATTGGATGGCCGTTAGGGCAGGAAGCTAGTGCATTGCAAACCACTTTGATTGCACTCAGTTCATGGTTGCGAGGTTGCCCCGACTCATTTTGCATCTAAACAGGGCCCTCGCCGCATCCAGTGTTTATGGTCAATCTAATTTGAGGGGGAGATACTGTGGATCCATTTCGCCCCACCTGTGAAACCATGAAAAACCCTTTGTTTCTTGGTATTAACAGGGAATGATCAGAAGACATATATTTTCTTAGGTGCCGCGAAATGGATTTCGCAACCATCCACGGTAATTCGTACGTCCTCCAGAAGCCGCACATGTCGACCGTGGCACTGGCGCTCTTTCGGATCTGAGAGCTGCTCTCGGGAATGACCTACCTGTCTTGCTGGCTCTCAGGGAATGAGCTGGAATCGATTCGGTGTCCTTTTTGGTTTGCTTACAAAATCGAGGGCCCTGGGCTTTGTTCCATTTACCAGTGAAACCCATCGATTTTTCCAAAAGGATGGCTGGAATGAGCCGATCCATCCCCGATGGCTTCCGGTTCCTTCCCGAAGCCTAGTCATCTGACTGGTTCGCCGGTCAGGGGGTTTGGGGAGGAGCCTAGGGATCCTCAAAGGAAACCACAAGGGATTGTTTATAGGGCTCACTTTTTCATTCCCTGACCAACAAATATCATTTGGTTGCTGGAAAGTTGCCGCCAAGAAACCAGGGCTGCTGTCTGGCATGAATGTACTTCCTTTTCTAGGTCCCCCCGTAGTGCCCTTTCTCACCCCTTTGTTTTTTGTGGAGGGTGCCCTTACTAAAATAGACGAAACAGGAAAAAAGTTGGCACCCTCACTCTAAAACCTCTCAGATCTGGAGGGCCTAGCTTCGCTGGCACTCGCGCTATTTGCTTTCCGCCCTTGATCAGAGTCCCATGGGCGTATCACTTGTAAGCGATGCGCAGGAAAGGCGGGGGTTTCATCTCTGGAACGGGCCCAGTGAAGTAGGTCCTGGAAGGATGATCCGATTTTCTTGCGCAGGAAAGGTCGTAGTCCTTGTTTCAGTGATGGAGGTCCAGGGATCTGCCCCGGAACACCCCGGAACGCCCTCAGGAGCGAAGTCGCGACAGGGACCGCGGACTTGGCTGGCAGGGTTTGCAATGTTTGCAAAAAAGCCCCTGCGCGTAGCACCCTAGAACCCCCCATTTATTGGAACAGGGTCCCGAAAAACACGGGAGTCTTCTCAGGCGCAGCATTGGTAGCCTGAAGGTTTGCCAGCCAACCGTGAACATCGAGCGACCATTCACTTGCTTCTTTGGCACACTCTTCTTGGCTGCTTCTGATGCGGGGCCACATGTGACATATTATTTTGAGGTAAGCCCTGGCCCATGCCGCGAGAATCATCAATAGTCATGTTTCGGCTACTCTGAATCTATGTGGCTGTGGCTGAAATGTACCAAAATGGCGCCGTAAGTGGAACCACAGACTCAAAACCTGCGGTTTGCCCTAGCTCTTGAATTTTGAGCCACACCCATAGCAATGGTGAGCGCCCCCCACCCCACTGGCCATGTCTAGTTTTCGTCTAGGTCCCCCAGTAGTGCCCTTTTACCCTTTTTTGGGGGAGGGTTCCCCTACTAAAATAGACAACAGAAACAAGTTGGTACCCTTACTCTAACCTCTCTACTGGAGGACCTAGCCACGGAGTTGAAACTTGTTGGGACAACCGTTTTTTTGCCCCTCCGGGGCCAACCAGACAGTTTGGTTTGGCAGTTTCTTTGGTTTGCCAGGGCTACGCTCACAACACACAAAAAATAGGGAAGAAGAACAACTCACCAGTTTTCTCCCTGGTTTCCTCGAGGGCACGGCCGACTCGACTCGCAGGACGAGAAGCGCCGGAGCCGCAGCCGGCGCCGGGAGGAGCGGCGATCCAGGCGACGCCGGGTCCGAGATCCGAGCACCGGGGAGGGAAACCAAGCAGGGATACATGGGGGAGCCGTTGGACACGGGAGGATTCCCCCATTTGCACCTTGAAGTTTGACATGGGAAGTGGCGCCAAGAAAATTCCCCGACCCACGAGCCGAGCTCTTGCTTCCCAAGTTCATTTGCCAGCTCTTACTTCCTGAGGTCATGGATCTTTAGTCACTTTTCGGGTTCTTGAGCCGAATTTTTGGTGCTAAATGCAAAGTTTTGATAGCTCTTGAGTTCATGGACTTTGAGCTTTTGGGTTTGCACTGGAGCTCTTGCTGCCCGAGTTCATAGATCATTAGTCACGTTTTGGGTTTGGAACGATATGTTGGTGGCAAATACAAAAAGTTCTGACCTTTTTTTGCCTACCTTAACTCTCAGGACGCCAGCCAATGGACTCCAGGTTGTCAGTGTTTCCAATTACGCCTTGGCTGCCGACCAGAAGGACATGGTAGCGTGGGTCAAATTTGGTCACCGCCAGGAAAAATGAACCGCAGGTGGTTGATTCCAGTTGCCCTGGCATGTGTTTAGGTGTTGTTCATGTTGTTGGCATTGTTTGTTTTTTGTTGGTTTATGTTTTTTTGTTTCTGTGCATTTTTACTAGGGGGCTGCAAGAAGCAAAGTTGTTTGCTACCATACAAAAGGATGGAGGGTGAGGAAGTCTGATTCGGACCACTTTCGAAAAGGGGCCTTTGCAGGTGGATTCCATTGTGGCAGAGTAAGCATGGAAAGAACCTTCTTCTTTCTCATAGTCTTGCCCGTGGGTTGAATCCATGATAGACATTTAGGGCCAACCTCCTTGTTCAGGATGTGGGGAAACATTGGTTTAAGTCAGCCCCAACTTGAAACGACCTTTGGGAACCCCCCGCGTCGGCGCCGGCGCCCTTTTGGGCCAAAAGCGCTGCTCGGCTGATGCTATGAGTTTTTCAACCGAGCTCACCATGATGCAGATCCTTTTCTTGCCCAACTGGTTGGACCAACATCCCCGCCTAAATGTTGCCCGGTGGAAGCCCAGAAAAAAACAACTCCTAAAATGTGAAGAATCCCTGTCTGGATGTTGCCCAGAGGAAGTTTAAGTAGAATTCAACTCCTACAACGTGAAGAATCCCCGCCTAAATGTTGCCCAGAGGGCGCCCAACTAGAATTCATTCTCATATTTTACAAACTTTGAAGACGCTGTTTGCTTGCTTCTTCACTCGGCCAGGGACCGCGACCGTCAGCCTGGCATACTCTTCGGGGATGGATCAATCCGAAGCCGCGGTTTTCCGTGCCAGCGTTCTCTACATACATACATACATACATACATACATACATACATACATACATACATACATACATACATACATACATACATACATACATACATACATACATACATACACACATACATACATACACACATACATACATACATACATACACACATACATACATACACATACACATAGTCTATATAGGCTGGAGGTTGGAACCGACGTTTCGAGCATACACTTACCCCAGGGGCTGTGCGTGTGTGTATGTTTGTTGAGGTGCATTATTGGCTTCGGCGTTTCTGACTACCAACGTGGTTTCCAAAAAGGCTTGGGGAAGGTGTTGTGGGGCCTACGGGCGCGGTGCGCACGCCGGGATGAACGCCCATCAAGCTTCCCTGTGACATCCCATGGAGTTTGTGTGCAGAAGGAAGGTTTTTGGGTGCGAAATGGTGCGGAGTTGAAAGATTTACCACGAGCCCAGTTCCGTTGGTGGCGTCTTACCAGCAAGCTGCTGCTCGTTCACGTGTTGATTTACCCAAAGGGAGGCCAGCCCAAAGAGCCGCGTGGACCCTCATATTCAAGGGTGTTGAATAAGGATCTAGGGGTACCTTTCCCATTCTTTCCAGGGATCCTTCTTTTCAGGAACCATCAAAATCCCAGGGGAAACGGATCCGGTTTTTGAAAAGAACGATGGTAGAATCCGACCAAAGTAGTGCAGGATTTCGTCCATCCACCGTGTACTTTGCTTCTTTGTGTAGGGCGTGCGTGAGTTCGGATTCGGGCCCGCCAGGTGCAGTTGTTTGTATGTCAGTTTGGGAGGGACGCGCAAGCAACTCACCACAGCTCGGCCACAAAACCCAGAGGCCTATCCCAGGTGGGCTGGACAAATGCTATTCGGACCTCTCGGTTTTGGAGGTGTGTTGGATTCCGTGCAACCCTTCGGAGCCGTTGCCCTTTAAAAGGAAACTGCAAAAGTCGAGTTCGATCATTTCGAGGGAAGCCGCCGGCACATTGATCAACTTTCGATTCGGGGAAATCCAGTGACTCCTGTGCAATGCTTTCCCCAGAAAGTGGCCCAGCCACTCTCGACGAGCCCGCGTGGCATGACGCATATGACGCATATGACGCATGGCCGGCGCGTTTGCTCCAGCATAAAAGGCGTTCGCCCCTATGCAGACGCGGAGGGGGATGAGGTTGTGAGAGTGGAATTCAGGCAAGACATCCAGGCACGCCTTCTCGAGTACAAAAGGCTGTTGTTCACCGAAGCCAAGAGCAAATGGTCCGCGCATCCTGCATATTGTTCCCTTCAAAGGGTCGAAGGGTTTGCTCGGTAGTTCACTTGGAATAAGTGATCTACTATTAAGCCTTCTACCTTGTTTCTCTCAACCTGTATTAAATATCAAACCAACTAATCTCTATATATATATATAGTGTTTTCCCAACCTGTTAAACCAACTAAGCTCTCTCTATATATATGTAAATATATATATAGATTCGTATGTAGTCTACTCGTGTTTGTGCAACCTACTATTAAGCCAACCAGTCTCAGCCTTCTACAGGTTTGTCCCACCAAGCCAACAACCTCAGGTTCAACGCCAAGTCAACTCAGTCAACTTCGCTCGTTTTCCCCAAACCACAGCCAGACACCCAAGTGACCCCAGCCCAGTTCCCGTTTGCGCCATGGCGCCGGGCAACTGGAGGTGAGAAGGCGGGGAGGGCCCCCCAGTCCCAGCCCCAAGCACAGCAGGGTGTTTGGGTGCTCAGGGGGCTTTTGGAAACCGGGGGGGGGGGGGGCGGGGAGGGCAGGGCATCAGAGGAAAACTCTCAGGGGGCTTTTGGAAACCGGGGGGGGAGGGCAGGGCATCAGAGGAAAACTCTCGGCTTTGGTTTCATGGGGCCCGCTCAAAATTGGATGGGGGGAAGGGGGGGGGGGGGGGGTTGGACATGAGAAAAGCAGCAGTTGCAAGTTGGGGGATGCTTAGGGCTTGTCAGATTTCAATAGAGCAATGTCCGAAGCCTTTGGCAGTGTTCATGCTTAACCACCGCCAACCACCAAACCACCAATCCAAAGCACCAATTGGAAGAATGCCGAGAAACTGCTCAAGAAGAGGCTGATCAGGCAAGTTCAAGTACCAGACTCTGCAGCGTGACACCTTAGGAACCAGTTTTGACCCAAAGGGAACGGTTGTGGTGGACAACTTCGGACAGCTGACTTTTCCTCAGGTAAACTGTGGCGTTTCTTTTTTTAAATAAAAAAATAAAAGTAGTATATTTTGCGATTCCCCCCCCCCCCCCGTTTTGGCTTAGTCACACGCAACATTCAGGGCATCCACCGGATCTTTGGGGGCGCTTGGACGAAAGTAGGTGACAGAATTCCAGCCCATTTTGGGTTTCACCGCACATGTCTTCCCCATTTCCAACCTCCCTTCTTGGTTTAGTCACCCTCTTGGCCCGACTTGTGCCCTAAGGCCGGCCACTTGCCTTCGCCCAGCTGGCCATGTCCACTCCCAAGACTCGGAGTTCGCGGATCGTTTGTGGGGCAACAAGTCCTTCCATTTGCTCAAGAATCTTTTTTACCCCCGTTGGTTGTAAAAGGAATCGGTCACTACTGGAAATATTTGTCTCTTCTTTCCAGGGGGCGAAAAAGCAAATGGAAGAGTTTCGACCTGTACTCAAAAAGTGATCAAGGGAGAGCAGAAACCTTGAGCTCTGATCTGCCACTATGGCTTTGATCGCTTCGATGAGAGTTCCGACCTTCTGCAGAGGTGCTGGCTTAGAATCGCCTCTGTGCTCCCATATTACGTGGGTAGAATAAGGATTTTGCTTGGGGAAAGAAACTCCCCTTGAAACAAGTTGAGAGACACAATCACAATGAAGTTTGATTGACACTCCAAAAAAAACAAGAATTATGTCCTTCTCAGTTCTTATGCAAGTCATGATTGAAAGATGGAAACATCCTCGTTGGAAAGGGGAAGTGATATAGAAGCAATGCAAGAACATGTCCAGTAAAAAGCTGTGTGAAGTATTATTTGAACAGGAAATCCTCTCCAAACTCTGATTGAAGCTAGGATGTATATCCATTTAACCTTAGTAAAATAAAATAACCATACTAAAAGAACATACAAAAGATATTGGATAAGGATCCCATCTTTGAAGTCTCCTCTTGAAACAGGAGACCCTATCTCAGTTCTATATGAAATCTGAGGCTCCTGAGACTCTACACGATTTCCGTTCCTGTCAAGTTCTGTTTGAGGTATTTGTTCCAGTACCAAAAATCAAGTCTTGCTGAAATCTGATCTGAGCTATCTAAGTTCTAGTTAAAACCACAAGTTGTACGAGAGTTTTTCCCTGTAAAACTCGTTTATGCTCGAGTTAGCAGATTGAACAACTCCTTCCGGGAAGGACATCGACTTAAATATCAAACTTGAAAGAAGCACTCGGGCTGCAGAGACAGGGCCACAACTGCAGAGCCAGGTCAGCACATATCTTTATATATATATATATATGTGTGACTATCTTGGTGGCTCCCAGCCAGCCCCCCTAGCCCTTTAGCTTTTCAGTGTTTAGTGGGGGTTCCCATCCAACCCGCTAAAAGTCAGTCACTGTTGGCGGGGGACCTGAGGAGAGCCCAGATATATCTATATATGTATATGTGTGCGTGTGTCCATTTATTTTCTTTTTTATTTACACATATGCAATATATATATATATCTATCTATCTATCTATCTATCCATCCATCTATCTATCTATCTATCTATCTATCTATCTATCTATCTATCTATCTATCTATCTATCTATCTATCTATCTATCTATCTATCTATCTATCTATCTATCTATCTATCTATCTATCTAAATCTATCTATCTATCTATCTATCTATCTATCTATCTATCTATCTATCTATCTATCTATCTATCTATCTATCTATCTATCTATCTATCGATCTATACATACATACATACATACATACATACATACATACATACATACATACATACATACATACATACATACATACATACATATGCCTAGAAATCCATATGTAACTGTACATATATGTTGGTGCACAAGGATGCCGCTGGCACCCTTCACCTCCGCCGCTTCTGCGGCGGCGTCTTTGGCCAGCGCTGCCTACGGCAGCCTCCGAGGCGGCTGGCGGTTGGCGCGGCCGGCGGTTGCGGCGGTTTTGGCGTGGGCGGGTGCTTCCGGTGGATCCAGCCCTGCTCCCCACTGATGCCCTTTCTCAAGGGTTCCCCTAACTCATGCAACAAAATCGGTCGCCTTTTATTCCATGGCCACTGGGCATCTGAGCCTGTAGGCTCAGGGTTCTCGTTATTAAGCGGGTCTGGGGATAAGGTCGTATTCGCTGGTTGGCTCGCGTGTGGATCCACCCCTGTAGTTTGTGTGTTTCCCGGGGTTCCTGGACTTGAGCAGATTGATGGCATCCATCCTTGCCTTGTAGATCCATCCTTGTTTTGGCAGTGGTGGCAGTCATTCACAGTCATGGCCAGTGTGAATAGTGGGATTGAAACCTACCTTATAAGCCTCCTGTGGGGTTTCCCGAGTCATCAGTTCCCATTTGCGACCCACTTACGAACTTGGCCGAACATCCTTGGAGGCTTTTCGAAGAGAGTAATGGCCACAATGTTCCTCATCCATATCATTCTTCAACACCTTTCTGGATTCCATTGGTTCCAGTAGCTGAATTCAGATTAATACCGCTGGTGCTTTCAAAGGGGATCTTTCATTAATACTGGAGATGTGTTCTAAGATTTTTCACAAATGCGCAGCGAAGGGTTTCCGGCCGTGTTCGCGAGGAGTTGTTCCAGAGTTCGCAACCGTCCGCAACCGTCTGCGGTGAGGCGACAAGCGTGTGCCATTGGGATTGCCGCAGCAAGTCACTATTGTGGCATGAGTCTTGCAGCACTGAATTTGCTGCGCCCGTGCGTGAACCGTGTCTCTTGTTAGCGCTGCGTGTCATTTTGCTGCGTAGGCGCTTTCTTTTTTTTTTTTTGACGGCTGTGTGTACCCGTTGCCGTGCCATTGGGATTTGCGGCGTGTGATTGTGTTGACGTCGGCGTCGTTTTCGTCTGTCGTGCAATCAGCTCACTTTGGTGAGCTTGAAATGCTTTGGTGAGCTTGAAATGTGTCCGAATTGGTCGAAATCATTCTGGCGCCACAATCCCGTGCTAGTTTTGGATGCGTGTCGTAAACGTGTCAAAGCTGGGTTTTGTGGCAGGTGGCGCAGTTTGGAGGGTCAAGCTTACTCTGCGTGACAGGTGCAGCACTTTCGAGCGTTTCGCGTCAATTTTGTGGCAAGCGCATCACTTGAGCTTCTTGTGCAAATTTTGTGGCAGGCGCTGTACTTTAGCGCCTGGGTGCAGATGTGGTGGCAGGCACTTCACTTTGAGTAGGTCGAATTGCTCTCGCTATGGTGCGGTGCACAGTTTGAGCACGCAAAGTGAACCTTCTGCGCACCTTGGGTGGGTCGAATCGCTTTCGCTGTGGTGCTGCGTGCATTTTGAGAGCGCAAGGTGAATCTTCTGCACTTTGGGTGGGTCAAATCACCCGCTCGGAAGTCCTTCTCAGAGTTGTCGCTCGGAAGTGCCGCTCAGGAGTGTCGCTCAGATACGTGTCAACGTGTCGCATACATGTGTGTAGAGGTGTCGCTCAGTTTGCCGTCGTCTGTCGCTCAGGAGGGCTTCAGGATTGGCGCTTGACGCTTCGATGTGTCAATCAGAGGTGTCGCTTAGGAGCGTAGCTCGAAATACCGCCTGTAAGTGTGTTGAGAAGTGTCGCCCAAGTTGTCGCTCAGAAGTGTCGCTCAAGCTCTTGATCAGAAGTGTCTCTGAAAAGTGTCCGTGCCAAAAGTCGCTTACGAGTGTTGCGTTGGAGAATGTTTAAAAGTGTCGGCTGAATGGTCGGTCAGAAGCTCAGAAGCGTCGCTCACAGCACGGCTCCAGCTGGACAGTTTTATAGGGGTCATTCCCTCATTTCATACTGAGACCAAGAAGAAAAATGAGCCTCACAGCTACTCTCAGGGGGACCCTGCATATATAGTATATAGTTGCTACATAGTGGCTGCACATCCCATTCAACCTAGTTGTGGGGACCATCTTAGAGTTACTGCAATGGTTGGGTTGCGACGCCAAAATTGCTTGAGTTGATCCTGGAAGGAAGCGTGCTGCCTCGAGTTCGCTTGTGGAGGTTCCTTCATGGCTGACATCGCAGGGGTGATGGGAATTTGGTCCGTGATTCTATCAACAAAATCGATGACTCTGTCCCTTTTCTTCCTTGCTCACAAAAGGCGTCCTTTCCTAAAATGAGACTCTATCAAAAAACGGAGGGTGGGTTAATTAATGCTCAGTTTTCCCCGCTTTGTTTGGGGTTCGGGACCTGGCAATCGAATCAACCCCAAGTGGTATGTACCTTTCTACCAGCGTCACTGGGCAACTGCGCAAGCAGAAATTGAGTTTGCCACAATTTTGCGGCCAACTTCCAAGTGATTCTGAGTCGTTGGTTGCCATGGGCTCGTAGGTTTGGGTAGCCTTTGTCAAGAGCTTGCAGGGGCTGCTGGGTGTAGATGTCGCCTCTTCCATGATACCAAATCCTACTTGTGCAAAAACGGACTTTTCAATCTCAGGTGGCCAACAGGTTCCGCTTGAGACCCAAGTACGTAGTTATCAACCACCATATCAATCACTGCTGACGTGTGACAAAACCCATCTTTCAAGCTTTGTTTTGTCTTTTGTTCGGTGGCTGGGTGCAAGCCTAGGCTGGGGCATGCCCTTCGCCGTGGCCACTTACCCATTCAATCATGATAGCAACTACAATGAAGTTGCCATTAACCAGTAGCCGATGCGCTCTACTGCTGCCCGCCTGCCCACCTGTCTAGCAAAGAACCACCCAGAATTACTTCTTGGTTGCATCTTGCTTGGCTGTTAGGACTTTAACTTGTTGCCAACTAATGGGTTTTCCACTAAACCAATAAAAGTTAAACTTTTAGCAGGGGAGCTGAAAGCAACCGAGACTTATCCAGTGAAAAAGTCTGTTCTTCAAGCCGAACCCAGATTAAGCCACTGCGCAGTGTTCACACCCCACTCCGTTTTCGACATGGTAGTGTATGGTTTGAAGTGATTGGGGGCGTGCCTTACGCCAGCTCTTCCCCAACTAAAGGCTAAAGGAGGGAAAAAGTCATCTCTCCCAGTGCTGGCTGGCTGCATGTCCAATAAACGGCAGCCCTGCTCGTCAACTTAGCCTTTCCACCTTCCCAGGTGTCATTGAGGTTTTAGCGTCATGCTGGCCTCATTGCGCGCGCGTGTGGCAATTCCATCAAGGTTGGAGGTTTGGGGTTTGCCTGTGGCTGGCTTGCTGAATTTGGATGATGGTTATCGCTGCTGCAAGCTACTTGAGTTTTCGCAGGAACTACGAAGTTGCTAACGAAGTCTTAGATCTCATCTTCATGACGCTTGGTGCCGTGAAGCCATGGCAATGACGTCGCACGAGCTTGACTGACAAAGCAGTTTCCGGAATGGAGACTCAGCAGCCATCCGCGGTTCCTTGAGTCGAGTTGTTTCTGAGTGGTCTACGCAGATGACACGCGCCTTGCTCGAAAGGAGGGTGGCCACGGGAATGGCCGACACGCACATCTTAAGCTGCCTCTATTGTATAGTTGCTTGTTAGTTTGTTTGTGTATTTGTTTGTTCGTGTGTTTGTTTGACAACGGCCCGCTCGCGAGGTGCACCGTGTTGTCGCACCCCCCCTTACGCGTCCATTGCGCTTCTGAAGATTTGGCGCCTGTTGCGCATTGCAGACGGCTGGTCTGCCAGCGGAAGTAGAATCGCTGGACCCTGAGTGTATGAAACAAGACGGGTTTTCGAGGAGAACAGCCGCATCAATTCACGCGCAAGTAGGCGCAAGACCGACTGGCGTGAACTGATTGGTCCGGAGTTCGCAGGGGGTACTCGTGACCAAGGTTGGTCTGTAGAAATGGATGATTGCGTAAACTCTGTCTTTTTTTTGAGCGGGTTCCGACTCGCCTAAGAACCTTCTGCACGGCTGCACTGAGCACACATGCAGCGGGGCGAGGGAAGGGGCACTGGCTTTGGCAGGCTCCGAGGAGGAGGCGCGGATTCTTGTGAGCGCCTCTTTGGCTTGGTTGCCTCATTCCCTGAGCCCTTGGACTTTAAACTAGTTGGAAGACCCTTTTCGTAGGAAATAGGCAGCTCGGATTCTTTGAGCTAATCCACTCATTTTCAACCTTTCAAAGCCAAACGTAATCATTAGGATTGGGATGCCGCCATCTTGAGCAAACTAGGCACGCTCAGTTTTTTGCGAACCCAGACAACTGGCGCAGGCAACCCCGTATGATTTTTTTTAGTTGGCCATGGCCGTGCCTACTAACTTGCAAATCCCACCTTTTGTAGGGGAATCCAGTCGCGCGTGGGATCTTCTCCTCTTGGCTCGCCAACAGCAATGCCAAGACCCCCCATGCTGCTCGCAAGCGAAGCTGATGGAAGGCTCCACAAATCGCTGCCGGGAACCATCTCACATGAATGTCCACTAGCCAGGGCCCATCTGAACACGTTGAAATTTGGCTACACCTGGTGCTCCGGAAGCTGCAAAACGGCCATTCGAGGCCAAGGGGCTGCGCGAGGTGTCTCAGGCTGCGGAGAGGCGAGACGAAACCAACACCGTGGTTGGGTAAGGATATGTAGGAATCGTTTGGCTGAGTGTTATGAGGGTACCCTTTTTTTGGGTTGGCTTAAAGGAATGCATGCTTCTGTTTGAAAATGTCCTTCTTTGAGGGAGGGAGGGAGCTCCCCGATTTGCCACATAACCCTTGACAAAATAACTGTTTGTCTTCTTTCTTTCTTTTTTTGGGGGGGGGTCAAGTTGAGGGGCGTATATGCGAAATTCTTCGATCTACCCACTTCCTTGCTGCAGGTGTGGCCCAAAAGGTTTGGCTTACCGAAAGTGAAGCACCAGGGGCCATTTTGTTTCCAGAGCCCCTGTTTAGCACAGCTTGATGACTCATCCACCACGCACGCTTCTTGTACCTAGCGTGTTCGTTGACAGAGACTCAGCAGGAAATCATACCCCATTGCAAGAGAGAGTGGGTGTCCACAAATCAATGTTTGGCCCAACCTTCCAACTCCCGCAACCCTGCATTGGTGGAAATGAAAGGGACCCACCCAAGAAAGAGTGGGCACAAGGGAAACAATCGCTGGCTTGTTTCGTCGAAGAAAGGCCCATCAACTTTTCCAGGCTGGCTCGCAGGGTTTCCTCGGTTTCACTCTTTGGAACCTCCAAACATTTTCCTTTTTGGGGCGGAGCAGGCAGGGGCACAAAGCCCTTTGTTTTGAGACGCTTCGCTGCAGCTTGGCCGAAGTTGTCGCGCCGCAATGGCAGGCCACCTAGCGGCTTGCCTTCCATATGTGGCATTGGCATATGTGTTGGACCACCGCCGGGCCGGCGGGGGGGACATCCTAGCTGAAGTGACAGCATTTTGTAGTGACCACTTGGTTGGCAAAAATGCGCCCCGTCGAGTTTAGGGACCCATTTTGTCAACAATGTGCTCTCCAAACCCCACCATTGTGTATAGTCGTTTTTTCAAAACCACCGATTTATGCCATAGAATGGCTGTTCCCCTCACCCCCTACATTCCAAGGGGGATTCCAGAGTGTCTCCATAAAAACAATCAAACTAATTGCGACCTTCGAATGTGAAATCCAGTTACCCCTTCCAGAAACTGCAAGAGGAGCCCATGGGGAATCCCTTCACTGTTCTTGTCAGGTTTGTTATACAGTTTGTTGGCTCCGTTCATTTCTACCTAAAGAAAACAGTTTTTGTTCAAACCATACGAAGAGTTGCAAAGATCCTATTCCTCATGTCCAGGGCACAGGGCTTGGCCATCCACCTGGCGGACCGCCTCAGCACTGCGAGGCGATCGACGGTTTTGTGTTGGACCTGCCTACCTTCGAGGGCGTTTCTCTTGAAAGTCAGGTGTTAGCTTCCCCTGTTGGTTTTCAAGGGAACACTACTGGGATTCCTTTTTCCTGGTTTCTTGAGGCTTGTTGTTCTTGGGGGAACGAGTTGTTGTTTCCTTTTTGGCCGTGGCAGGTTCCCCGCTTGGTCGGTGCGTCGCTCGGCCGCCGTCGGTTGCTTGGTCGGTCTCAAGCCTAAACCCACCCTAGATCAATGGGTTACATGCATCACATCGACTGGAGGGCCCTTATATAAGTTGTGTTTGTTATTGTTCAGGCCTTTGGGTCATTTTGCCGTTTGCCCAGACCTGGCCTCCCTGTTCGTCCTAGTCCCCTTTAAACTACCACTTGGGGGTGCTTCTGAGGCTGATGGAGTATGGTGGCCGGCCAGAGCCGACATCTGAACCTTTATTCCCTGTTTGTCAGCCATGTTGAATCCAGGTCCAAAAGGTGACGACTGGTTGTTCAGCTAAGTGCAACAAGCCGCGGGGTGATCTGGTTAGGAAAACTTTTGAAATAAACGTGTCCAGGCGGTTGGTGGAGGTGAGGCTTGCCAGGAAGCTCTTAAGGAAGCTGGTCCCAAGCATGCTACTGCGATTTTCCCGCTCTCAATGAGCACATCGGGAAATGAAGCGCCAATGTACCAATGAGGCAAAACAATCGCCCAGCCATGTCTTGATTGTATTTGTGGTGGGCCACCATGTCTTAAGTTGTTTGCAGGCACGAGGGCACGAGAGTGGTGGGGCCACACTTTCAGGCCACAGCCTGGAAACATCTTGCCAATGAAACGCAGCGCACGCACACGCACAACCACACGCACAACCACACGCCCACACAAACCTCCACACCAACACCAACACCAGCACCAGCACAAACACCAAACCAACCAACCAACCAGCCAAACAAAAATCCAAACACACACGCACGCACGCACGCACGCGCACGCACACGCACACGCGCACACACACACACACACACACGCCCACACGCCCACACGCCCACACGCCCACTCGCCCACACGCCCACACGCCCACACGCCCACACGCCCACACGCCCACACGCCCACACGCCCACACGCCCACACGCCCACACGCCCACACGCCCACACGCCCACACGCCCACACGCCCACACGCCCACACGCCCACACGCCCACACGCCCACACGCGCACACGCGCACACGCGCACACACGCACACACGCACACACGCGCACGCGCACGCGCACGCGCACGCGCACGCGCACGCGCAAGCGCACGCGCACGCGCACGCGCACGCGCACGCGCGCGCGCATTGCAGGACATGTTTTACAGTGTCTGGGTATAAGGGCCCTCACTCCCTTCCCAGCGTTCTGCGCGCCAGGACTGATTTGGACAGCGCTTTGTCACCAAGCTCCGTGGTGAGGCGCGTGTCTCATAATAGACCCCGAAATGGGAATTGTCCCTGTAGTATCCCTTTAAAGCAACCCAAAAAAAGGTACTCTGAAGAAATGCGACACCCATATACATATACATAATATATATATATATATATATACCGATAGTTAGATGGATAGTTAGATAGCTAAATATGTGGAAGAGCCCCTTACGGGATGGCAGTTTCCTGATCGAACGCGTCCTGTGACCGAGCTGCTCCCTTCACATGGCGCCCAGTGATCAAGCAAGCTTGCAGACTACAGGTTTCAGCTTGATCCTCGCTTCATTTGGGTGTGTTTGGACTTTTTCGATCCACGAAGCGAAAGGCATTCCCCAGTTCCCCAGATTTGTTTGGGAAAGACGCCGAGAGGTTTCTCCCAAAGTGGGAGACATGACCGCCCGACCGCCAGGGGCATCAGAGAGGTCGGGTACCGCGCGTCGTAGGGAGCCCCGAGATTCTGAGGGAGCGTCGCTCTTCTCCGTGTTTTTGTGGAAGGGATGCCACAGGAACCGCGGTCAGTGGTTGGGTGTCCGTTTAACCCAACAGTTAGCAGTTACTTTTAGCAGGGGGTCAGTTTGGACAGCCCAGTTTTGGGGTGCCCTTACCAGCCCCATTTGTTTCACAGCGCCACACATTTTCCAAAAGTGTCACTTCGTAGTGGTTCTACGTTTTATGGGGGGGGGGTTGTAAAAAACCTAGTCGCGAGAATCAAGGCAGGCTTGGACTTTGAAAGACTTGGAATCCGTAAAATCAAAAAGCAGCCCCTGTGTGTGCAACCAAAAGCTCGTCCAAAATCAAACTTTGCAACTGCTGAACTTTGGTTGTGTGTCTTCGTTTCGTGGCTGGGACATGCTGGAACAAGAATAAATTTGATTCTAGGTGATTTGACCACCCACTCGACTCAAGGCCCCCTAGCCCTACACGACTGTTTTCAGCCCAGCAGGCCTCACTTGAGACCGGGTCAAAATTCCTGCCAAAATCCAGGGGACGATCTATGTGTTCAATGTCCGTCACAGGAGCATGACAGTTTGACCGTGCATGGCGTTGCTGTGACCTTTGTCCCATGAGGCGCTAATTTTGGAGCACAGCCCGATGTGAGGGAAACTCCCCAACCTGTGGCACATAAATTGGTAGATTAAGCCGCTCACGCTACAAGACACGCGAGACAGAGAGAGAGAGAAAGAGAGAGGAGAGAGAAGAGCTTTTCCGCTACCCTGCGGCTCGACCAGAGCCTCACCAAAGTCCAAGCAATTGGGCCATGAACCCTTCAAGGACCTAAAAGGCGCCAATAAGGGCCCTCAAAAGGCCAGCGCTGCATGAAATTCCAAAGAGGCGCGCCCTGCTTGTAAGCTCTATGTTAGCTGTCCGAAAGCAAGGATTCCGCATGATGCATCGGCTCTATTTCGTTCATACGTAAGGATATGGCTGCTAAGTATCTTTCCGATTCCCCCCCTCCACCCCATGTTTCCCGGAGAAGGTGCGCCCACCCAAGCTCTCAGGAGCGTGCTGCAGCGGTTGAGGCAAGGCCTTAGACAAAGACTGTGATTCGCGAAATGAAGCCATGGCTGAAACCATTGCGTGGTATTAACGGGGAAATCGAATCATAGGGTTCTGAATGGTGCGAAATATGGATTCAGAATCCGCGGTTGGGACCTGACTTGAAGATAGACAGCCGAAGGGTTTGTTGGTTTTCTGTTGGTCGTCTTTACGGCCAACCAAGGGAAGGCTAATTACCCCAAAAGACACGCCCACTTGGGTCTGCCCCGTTTTTCGAGGGAACCCATACCCACGATCTTCAAACCCCCCCAAAGCGTAGCCTCAAGCCTCATGGCTTTGAGGGGCCCAAGGGATGGCGAACGCAAGCCCAGACTGGGGAAGTACTACACTGGTTCCTGTCTTTTTGCAGGGTCCAGGCCCACTCTAAAAGTGAGTGACAAGCTTGCCGTTTCTCAGCGCTGAGAGTAGCCCAGTTGTGGCCCATGGCTACTGACCAGGTTCTTGCTTTCCCCAGGTCGTCACCTTTGCGTACTTTGTAGACACTGAGCCTTGTAGGGTCGAGAACGCAATGGCTCCCAGTAAGCCTTGCCTTCGGCACTGCGCGCAGGTCTTCCACTGTGGAGCTTTTGTCCATGGAGGACGGGTGAAGATGAGCTCACCGATTCAAAAGTAGAATGCCCACACAGACGCGCACACACACGCCCACGCACACGCACACGCAAAGACAGACAGAGAGGTAGACAGAGAAAGAGGCAGAAAGAAAGACAGAAAGACAGAAAGACAAAAAGACAGAAAGACAAACAGAGACAAATTGAGACAGAGACAGAGACAGACAGACAGACACACGCAGAGGCGGAGAGAGAAGCATAGAGAGAGAAGCATAGAGAGAGAAGCATAGAGAGAGAGAGAGCGAGAGACAGAGAGACAGAGACAAGCACACACACACACAAGGCGTATCAGCACCGCACCCAGGACGGCCCTACTGAGTCTGCGGAAGTCTTGGGCTTGAGCCGGCAGCTCTGGGAGTGTTGGCGTGGAAGCTCAGCACTGCATTCCGGGAAGGAGAGGCATGAGGCATAAGGTTCTGAAGAGCCTTCCCTTACCTCTTAAAAGCACAAAACTGTTCGTAACTTTTTGGGGGTAACTTTTTGGCTATATGTACAAGATGAGAACTTCCCCAATCCTTGGAGTTTTTTCAGGGGTAAGTTCCCACTGGACAAGGGAAATGGAGGGCCTTTGGTTCCTGAGGCTTAGCATTTGCCTCGAGATGCGACTGCAAGTCACCCTGTGCGAGACGGGCTTCAGGTTGCCGGGGTGTTTGAAGGAAAGGTGCCAGGAATCTTTCTTGTTGCTCTGGTTTTTCCGGGTGGAGGTGGAGCAAGCTACAGATATATATATATATATATACAAATGTTATATATTTGTTGAGGTGCACAAATTTGTTGCCTGCAAGGCGGCATGGATGTGGCAGCACAACATTCCGTGCAACACGAAAAGAGGGAGCGCATGACCTGCACTCAGCCAGTGGTTCTGGTTGGGAGGTCCGCTACCTTCGCACGGGATGAATAGGCCGGGGGTCAAAAATCCAAGCGCAGGCACTCCAAGCACATGGCGCTCACTGCCGCAGAGCGGCTGTGACTTGGACGAGTGGAAAGGGGCCAGGGGCTTTGAGGCACCTTTCAGCCCGCTTTGGTTGGTTCAATGGGCGGCCCGTGGCCCCAAGCACGCCCAAAAAGCGGCTCGATATGCCTCGATCCGATTCTTTGGCGGTTTCTGTCGTTGGGCAACTGGGCCAACATGGCCTTAAGAAAATGGGCCCAGGCATTTTTTCGGGACGTGAAGCAAGTTACCCTCACAAGAGGCCAAGTTTGTTTGTGAACTGGCGCCAAAACCACCTGGACGAGCCGCGTCTTTGGGGTGAAGTGGACCCAGATGGAACCCCAAGGGATCCCGGAAAGGAGATAAACAAAAAACAAAGAGCAGGGAACTGTGGGTTCCAGATGAAGTCTTAGAGTAGCGAGACTGGAGTTGTTTTTTTAGAACTGGAGAAAGCACACCGCAAAAACGAACGTTATTCACTCACAACACTGTTGGCATGCGCATCATCATGCAAACATTTGGCCCCGAAAAAGGGCATGTTCTTGGCGCCATGCGTTGCTTCCTGTGATACTTCAGGGGTTCTTTGGGGGGTGTCTTTTCTTGAGGGCACACTTGTTTGGGTGAAAGGGAAACCACCCTTTTGGGTGAAGGGAAGGGATTCTGTTGTCTGGAGGGCCCCACAAGGCAGCTTCATTCGTTTAAACAGCCACCCAAATGAGGGTCCAAATCCCAACTTTCTTGCTGGTGCGAGAGGTAGGGAATGAGGGAATGAACCCAGTCCCCAAAAAAAAGGAAGCCACCAGTTGGATGGTTTATACGGGTCATTCCCTGTCTCATTCCCTATCGCACAAGCAAGTCAACTTGGTGGCTCCCAGCCAACCCCTTAGCTTTTTAGCTGTTAGTGTTTAGTGGTAGTTTCCATTTAACCACCGGGCAGCCCAGTTAAATGGCAGCTTCATACAATTTGTTTTGCCTCAAGGCGGCCGAATGGGCCCGAATCTCCCCCGAGGTACCTGACCCTTCTCTCCGAGTCGCGGCGCACCGCCGCCCTCATGGCCGAGCTGGCGGCGGTGCAGCGCTTGCTGCAGGAAGCCACCGCCGACATCGACGAGTCACCTGAAAAACCCGAAAATTGGAGGGTAAGGGACCATCCCAGCCATAAATGGCCATAGGTGAAAACCCCCCTACCTCCAGTGAACATCCCAATCCCCACTAAAATAGACTAAAATGGGTGCACCTATCCCAAAATGGGATCCCATTGGCGTTGAACCACAGCCATAGATGGTTGCAGCCGCCTGGTCGTTTCTTTGCATGGTTCTGGGGCCAGCCGCGCCCTGCTGTCCACCCTCTTTGTCCCAGAAATTCTTCGACTTGAGCGGTCGACATTGCCTATTCAAGGTCCGGAGTGGTCAAGCTACAACGATGGTGTCCTTGTTCAGCATGGCAGGCCAGCCGGCCGGCAGGTAGGATGAATTTATGCGAAGGGAATGACCATCGTGCACATTGGCAACATGGCCAGGTTTGCAAAATATATATTCACGAGGGTGACAAGAGCTTGGGGCCCGGTCCCTGTAATTGAGATGTCGTCTTTCTTCTTTTGCGTACATCCACAAACATACGCATACGACAACACACGCATATACGACAGCAGAGTCTTTCTAAGACTGTGTTTTTGTGTTTCGTGTTTAGGCGCCGTTGATGCTTCCAAGCATTTAGGCATCAAGATTGTGGCTCTCGGGGAAACTATCCCTGTATGAACTCCCCCCACTAGCCCGTTTTAGACCTAAGAACCCTCCAATTCTATTGGCCCTTTCTACCCAACACTTTGTATGTTTGGCGACGTGGGGTCTTGGGCCGGGTTATTCACCTTCCACCCAGCTTAGTCCTCTCTACTCCCGGTGTGCTTAGTTAGATGTTGCCAGTTGTTTCTTTCGGTTTAAAGGATTCCCATCCCCTTTGGCAAGGTTTGCAATGCAACATGTTGTGTGAACAGCAAGGCCTTGGCACCCCTAAGGAAAATCAAATGATTGTTGTTTAGGCAACCAGTGAGTTGGACATGTTGAAACAGGCGGGTGAATGACACAACCCCGGTAGAATTACTTGGCCTTACTACGCTTTGCTGTACATTGGTTTGTCTCAACTTTGGTCCGCCCCTCTTTTTTTTGGAAACAAACGTGGACCAAATGTGGCTCGCAGCCTCATATGTTCTTTTCTCTTCGGTGCACCCCATGAGCATTTGGCCGCCAAGGGATTTGTGCGATAGGAGGAGCCTACGACCGAGCTATCGCGCGGGGCCTCCCCCAGATCCGTAGGGTCGTGAGCCTTCGGCGTTGAGAAAGAAGTAGAACACCATGAGGGGGAACATATGGCTCATCTCTCTTTTGTTTTTGCCTCGGTGTTTGTCTTTTGTGTCTCAAATGGGGTCGTCCCCTGTTTGGGATGGAGAAAAAAGGATTTGAGACAGCCATCTGATCAGAACTCCTGGGGTCGACACTGTTTTCGAGCGGACTACGGACCAAACAAAAACGGCTTAGCGCAAATTGGACAACCAGTCAACCAGTAAAAAGACATGGAACCCCAAGGAAAACTGAGCACTCGATTCTGTACGTGCATCTCGCCTATGTGAATTTGCAGCGGGGTAGCTCGTGAGTTCTCGGTGGAAGCCCACCGGTTGTTTCGGAATGGAAAGTGACTTTGGGTGCGCCCATCGGTTCTGATGGTTGATTCTCACGTTGCAAGGGGCTGGTTGTATCCAAATTTGTTTTTAAAGAGGTGCGTGTTGGTGACTTCCCTCCCCCTCAGGAAGCGACACAAGAATCATGGCATCAACGTCCAATTTTCTGCCTTTGGGTTTACCTGCAACCGGATGCAGAAATGACTTACCCGGAGCAACTGGATGAGGTTCACTTGCGTTTGACCTTTTGGTTTCCACTTGTTTGTCAATTTTAAGACAAGGTCTTAAAAGGTTATCCTTGTATTCCTCGGCCCTTTGGGCAACTGAGCTTGGGCGTCTCTCAATGAAGCCTCCAGGTGGTTGAGAGCGCCATCTTGTGACCGTCGAAGAACGGAACGGAATACTGAGCCACACCCAAAAAATGTGCGCCAGTTTTTCTTCTTGTTCGGTCACTGAACCAGGCCAGCCCCAAAATGAAATTGTTCCCGCAAAAAGAAGTGAGACAGCATGTTCCCAAGCAAGAAAGAAAACCACTGCGCTTCCTCAAAAGGACTGGGTTGTCTACCACCGAATGAGTCCCCTGAAGGAGGCACGGGTTCCCTAAAAAGGAGGGTGTTCCCTACGGGTTAGTCCAAAAAGCGTGCCTATTCTGGTCGGGTCTCCAGTCAATTCCAGTCCCACTGAGGCCAAAAAGCCGTCGAGAGCTGCAGCGCCCAAATTCAGGCGCAGGCCGGATCCGGATGCGCCGCACTCAAAGGAAAGCGCAAGTGGTTTTTAATCTTTGCCAAAGCACACCAAAAGGGGATAGACATGATGGATATTATCATTTAGCACCCAGCTTGCTCTTTTTCGCCCGCTTGGACTTTTTGAAAAGGGACGCAGGTTTTTTCTTCACCCTATGTTTCAAGGCTGAATGATGGACTTACGCGTCAGCCAGCAAGCCGCCAGTACGTTCTCAAAAAGGATTCGACCACCTCAACTTAGGAACTTCGGGCTGTATCCATCTTTGTAGTATCGATTTGCTGCCTGTGGCATGTGCATTCTGCACGGTTTTGCTTGGTTTCCGAGTGCCTACCGCTTACAGCCCCATGAGAGTACCCCAGTCTTGTCATCGGCGTTTGTTGGATCTTCCGCGCCTTTGTCTCCTTTATTCACTGATTTTTCCAGCACCAAGAAAGAGACGGCTCCCGTTTGTCAGCCAATTGGAACGCCTAGACAGTTGAACTTAAGCTAAACCAGCAGCAAATATGTCCGGCTCCCATGTCTCCTCCTGGCAGTGGGGTAAAGTTTCCGGGGGTGTGGGGATTTGCCTGGGTGTTTTATCCAGACCTATGGATCTGGTGTGCCTTTGACTTTTGGGTTCTCAAAGTCACCCGGTTTGGGGCCGTTTCCCGGTCCGCGCAACTTTCTCGCGGGAACCGCACAAGAATTGGCTTCCCTTTGGTGTCCCTTGACAACAAGCCCTACCGAATACCAGAAATCACGGTTCTTGCCGAGTTTTCTGATTTTTCATATTTATTTTTTTTTTGGGGGGGGGGTTCTCTTCAATTGTTTTTGGCTGCAAAAAAAGCCTCGGTTTTTTGCAACCATACCAAAGGTTGTGAAGAATCTGGTACCCCCTAATTGGCATTCCCCCCCAAAAGTGGTCTCATTCCTGAGTAATGGACACCCCCATATGAATGAAAACTCGATGGGTGGATAAATGTGAGGTCAACACTACCAACTAAATGCACAGTATGTTTTGCCTGGGTAGGTTTTCGCCCTAAAGAAGGGTGGTGTAAGAGCTGTCGCTTTTGGGTCCTTTAAACATAGGCAATCAATAGGAAAAATTAGCAAAACCAGAAGTGGACATCCCCATATTAATAAAAGCTGTTTGGTTGATAAATACGAGGTCAACACTACCAACTAAATGCACAGTATGTTTTTCCCGGGTAGGTTTTCGCCATAAAAAAGGTGGTGTAAGAGCTGTTGCTTTTGGGTCCTTTAAACATAGGAAAATATCAATAGGAACACATATCAGTTATGCCAGAAGTGGACACCCCGATATTAACAGAAACTGGTTGGTTGATAAATACGGGGTCAACATGAGCAACTAAATGCACAGTATGTGTGTCCCGGTAGGTTTTCGTTTCAAGAAAGGGTGGTGTAAGAGCTGTCGTTTTTGCGTCCTTTAAACATAGGAAAAGCTCAATCAGACAAAGAAGTCAGCTATGCCAGAAGTGGACACCCCCCCGCATATTTAGTTTTTGAAAAAGTAATCTGGTGGATGCATTCAACATGAACCTGATTTGTTTTGTCGAAACATACAAGCTGGTTGGTGGATAAATACGGGGTCAACATGAGCAACTAAATGCACAGTTTGTTTTTGTTTTTTTTGTTTTCTTCCCGGGTAGGTTTTCGCCCTAAGAAAGGGTGGTGTAAGAGCTGTCGCTTTTGGGTCCTTTAAACATAGGAAAAGCTCAATCAGAAAAAAAGACTCAGCTATGCCAGAAGTGGCCCCCCCATATGTTGTTTTCGAACAGGTAGTCTGGTTGATGCATTCAACATGAACCCGTGTTTTTTCCGGAAAAAGCAGGCTTACTGGCAGCACCATCCCCATACTAATAAAAGCTGGTTGGCAGATAAATACAGGGTCAACATTACCTACTAAATGCACAGTATGTGTTTTTTGTTTTTTTCCCATGTAGGTTTTTGCCCTAAGAAAGGGTGGTGTAAGAGCTGTCGCTTTCGGGTCCTTTAAACATAGGAAAAGCTCAATCAGAAAAAAACACAAAAACAAAAAGACAGTCAGCTATGCCAGAAGTGGACACCCCCCCATATTTTGTTTTTGAATAAGTAGTCTGGTTGATGCATTCAACATGAACCTGTTTTCTGTTTTCCTTTTTTTTCCGGAAACGCAGGCTCAATGGCAGCACCATCCCCATATTAATGAAAACTGGTTGGTGGATAAATACGGGGTAAACATTAGCAACTAAATGCACAGTATGTGTGTCCCGGTAGGTTTTCGTTTCAAGAAAGGGTGGTGTAAGAGCTGTCGCTTTTGGGTCCTTTAAGCCTAGGAAAAGCTCAATCAGAAAAAATGTCAGCTATGCCAGAAGTGGACCCCCCCCCACATTTTGTTTTTGAAGAAGTAATCTGGTTGATGCATTCAACATGAACCTGTGTTTCCCCCCAAAAAAGCAGGCTCAATGGCAGCACCACCCCCGTATTAATAAACGCTGGTTAGTGGACAAATACGGGGTCAACATTAGCACCTAAATGCACAGTATTTTTCCCGGGTAGGTTTTCGCCCTAAGAAAGGGTGGTGTAAGAGCTGTCGCTTTTGGGTCCTTTAAACATAGGAACAGCTCAATCAGAAAAACAAGTCAGCTATGCCAGAAATGGACCCCCTCCACATGTTTTTTTTTTTTTTAGTAATCTGGTTGATGCATTCAACATGAACCTGATGTTTTTCCCGAGAAAGCAGGCTCAATGGCAGCAACAACCCCTTATTCTTAAATGCTGGTTGGTGGAAAAATACGGGGTCAACATTAGCAACTAAATGCACAGTATGTTTTTTGTTTTTCCCGGGTAGGTTTTCGCCCTAAGAAAGGGTGGTGTAAGAGCTGTCGCTTTTGGGTCCTTTACACATAGGAAAACCTCAATCAAAAACAGGAAAGTCAGCTATGCCAGAAGTGGACACCCGCCCCATATGTTGTTTTTAAAAAAGTAGTCTGGTTGATGCATTCAACATGAACCGGATGTTTTTCCCGAGAAAGCAGGCTCAATGGCAGCACCATCCCCATACTAAAAGAAGCTGGTTGGCAGATAAATACGGGGTCAACATTACCTACTAAATGCACAGCTTTTTTGTTTTTCCCAGGTAGGTGTCCGCCCTAAGAAAGGGTGGTGTAAGAGCTGTCGCTTTTGGGTCCTTTAAACATAGGAAAAGCTCAATCAGAAAAAGAAGTCAGCTATGCCAGAAGTGGACCCCCCCCCACATGTTGTTTTTGAAAAAGCAATCTGGTTGACGCGTTCAGCATGAACCTGATTTGTTTTCTTCTCTTTTTGGCGAAGACGCAGGCTCAATGGCAGCACCACCCCCATATTAATACAAGCTGGTTGGTGGATAAATACGGGGTCAACATTAGCAACTCAATGCACAGTATGTGTTTTTTCTCGGGTAGGCTTTCGGCCTACGACAGGGTGGTGTAAGAGCTGTCGCTTTTGGGTCCTTTAAACATAGGCAAAGCTCAATCAGCAAAACAATCAGCTATGCCAGAAGTGGACCCCCCTCCCTTTTTGTCTTTACAGTAGTCTGGTTGATGCATTCAACATGAACCCGTTTTTTTTTCTCCTGAAAAAGCAGGCTCAATGGCAGCACCACCCCCATATTAATAAAAGCTAGTTGGTGGATAAATACGAGGTCAACATTAGCAACTCAATGCACAGTATGTTGTTTATTTCCTGGGTAGGTTTTCGCCCTAAGAAAGGGTGGTGTAGGAGCTGTCGCTTTTGGGTCCTTTACACATAGGAAAAGCTCAATCAGAAAAACAAGTCAGCTATGCCAGAAGTGGACCCCCCCCCACATGTTGTTTTTTTTTTTTTTTGTAATCTGGTTGAATCATTCAACATGAACCTGATTTTTCCTTTATTTTCCGAAGACGCAGGCTCAATGGCAGCACCACCCCCATATTAATACAAGCTGGTTGGTGGATAAATACGGGGTCAACATTAGCAACTAAATGCACAGTATGTTTTTCTTTTTTTTCCTGGGTAGGTTTTCGCCCTAAGAAAGGGTGGTGTAAGAGCTGTCGCTTTGGGGTCCTTTAAACCTAGGAAAAGCTCAATCAGAAAAAGAAGTCAGCTATGCCAGAAGTGGACCCCCCCCCATATTTTGTTTTTGAAAAAGGAGTCTGGTTGATGCATTCAACATGAACCTGTTTTTTCCACAAAAAACGGGCTCAATGGCAGCACCACCCCCATATTAATAAAAGCTGGTTGGTGGATAAATACGGGGTCAACATTAGCAACTAAATGCACAGTATTTTTTTCCGGTAGGTTTTCGCCCTTCAGAAAGGGTGGTGTAAGAGCTGTCGCTTTTGGGTCCTTTAAACATAGGCAAAGCTCAATCAGAAAAACAGTCAGCTATGCCAGAAGTGGACCCTCCCCCCATATTTTGTTTTTCAAAGTAGTCTGCTTGATGCATTCAACATGAACCTGATGTGTTTTTTTTTCTCCGAAAACCCGGCTCAATGGCAGCAACGACCCCCTTATTTTTACATGCTGGTTGGTGGATAAATACGGGGTCAACATTAGCAACTAAATGCACAGTATGTGTTTTTTTCCCGGGTAGGTTTTCGCCCCTAAGAAAGGGTGGTGTAAGAGCTGTCGCTTTTGGGTCCTTTAAACCTAGGAAAAGCTCAATCAGAAAAAGAAGTCAGCTATGCCAGAAGTGGACCCCCCCCATATTTTGTTTTTGAAAAAGTAGTCTGGTTGATGCGTTCAACATGAACCATATGTTTTGTCGAAAAAACAGGCTCAATGGCAGCACCACCCCCATACTAATAAATGCTGGCTGGTGGATAAATACGGGGTCAACATTAGCAACTCAATTCGCAGTATGTGTTTTTTCCCGGGTAGGTTTTCGCCCCTAAGAAAGGGTGGTATAAGAGCTGTCGCTTTTGGGTCCTTTAAACCTAGGAAAAGCTCAATCAGAAAAAGAAGTCAGCTATGCCAGCAGTGGACCCCCCCCCCCCCCCATATTTTGTTTTTGAAAAAGTAGTCTGGTTGATGCATTCAACATGAACCATATGTTTTGTCGAAAAAGCAGGCTCAATGGCAGCACCACCCCCATACTAATAAATGCTGGTTGGTGGATACATACGGGGTCAACATTAGCAACTCAATGCGCAGTATTTGTGTTTTTCCCGGGTAGGTTTTCGCCCCTAAGAAAGGGTGGTGTAAGAGCTGTCGCTTTTGGGTCCTTTAAACCTAGGAAAAGCTCAATCGGAAAAAGAAGTCAGCTATGCCAGAAGTGGACCCCCCCCCATATTTTGTTTTTGAAAAAGTAGTCTGGTTGATGCATTCAACATGAACCATATGTTTTGTCGAAAAAGCAGGCTCAAGGCAGCACCACCCCATACTAATAAATGCTGGTTGGTGGATACATACGGGGTCAACATTAGCAACTCAATGCGCAGTATGTGTGTTTTTCCCGGGTAGGTTTTCGCCCCTAAGAAAGGGTGGTGTAAGAGCTGTCGCTTTTGGGTCCTTTAAACCTAGGAAAAGTTCAATCAGAAAAAGAAGTGAGCTATGCCAGAAGTGGACCCCCCCCCCCCATATTTTGTTTTTGAAAAAGTAGTCTGGTTGATGCATTCAACATGAACCATATGTTTTGTCGAAAAAGCAGGCTCAATGGCAGCACCACCCCCATACTAATAAATGCTGGTTGGTGGATACATACGGGGTCAACATTAGCAACTCAATGCGCAGTATGTGTGTTTTTCCCGGGTAGGTTTTCGCCCCTAAGAAAGGGTGGTGTAAGAGCTGTCGCTTTTGGGTCCTTTAAACCTAGGAAAAGTTCAATCAGAAAAAGAAGTGAGCTATGCCAGAAGTGGACCCCCCCCCCCCATATTTTGTTTTTGAAAAAGTAGTCTGGTTGATGCATTCAACATGAACCATATGTTTTGTCGAAAAAGCAGGCTCAATGGCAGCACCACCCCCATACTAACAAATGCTGGTTGGTGGATAAATACGGGGTCAACATTAGCAACTCAATGCGCAGTATGTGTTTTTTTCCCGGGTAGGTTTTCGCCCCTAAGAAAGGGTGGTGTAAGAGCTGTCGCTTTTGGGTCCTTTAAACCTAGGAAAAGCTCAATCAGAAAAAGAAGTCAGCTATGCCAGAAGTGGACCCCCCCCCATATTTTGTTTTTGAAAAAGTAGTCTTGGTGAGTGCATTCAACGCAGACCATATGTTTTGTCGAAAAAGCAGGCTCAAAGGCAGCACCACCCCCATACTAATAAATGCTGGTTGGTGGATACATACGGGGTCAACATTAGCAACTCAATGCGCAGTATGTGTTTTTTTCCCGGGTAGGTTTTCGCCCCTAAGAAAGGGTGGTGTAAGAGCTGTCGCTTTTGGGTCCTTTAAACCTAGGAAAAGCTCAATCAGAAAAAGAAGTCAGCTATGCCAGCAGTGGACCCCCCCCCCCATATTTTGTTTTTGAAAAAGTAGTCTGGTTGATGCATTCAACATGAACCATATGTTTTGTCGAAAAAGCAGGCTCAAAGGCAGCACCACCCCCATACTAATAAATGCTGGTTGGTGGATACATACGGGGTCAACATTAGCAACTCAATGCGCAGTATGTGTTTTTTTCCCGGGGAGGTTTTCGCCCCTAAGAAAGGGTGGTGTAAGAGCTGTCGCTTTTGGGTCCTTTAAACCTAGGAAAAGCTCAATCAGAAAAAGAAGTCAGCTATGCCAGAAGTGGACCCCCCCCCCCATATTTTGTTTTTGAAAAAGTAGTCTGGTTGATGCATTCAACATGAACCATATGTTTTGTCGAAAAAGCAGGCTCAATGGCACAGAATCTGATCCAGATCGGATCAACCCGAGCGGATCGAGCGATTCGATTCGAGTCGAGGCCTTGGAGGCTGTGAAGGCCTTCGAGGGCCGAGCCAGGGACTATCCCTGCGGCTGCCCGCCCGGAGCCCGGGGCTATGGCCGGGATTGGCTCCGATGGAAGTGGGGGGAAGTGGGGGGGTTGGGTTTGGGGGGGTTGGGTTTGGGGGGGTTTTAGCTGGCTCCAACAGCCAGCTCCGTCGCGACAGCGACCTTCACGGTGGGGGAATACGAGCTCTCGGGATACAACATGACCGTACGTCTCGGCCGATAATGACTACGCGGACCACCGGCTCCTTCCGCACGCCGGCGGAGCAGTCCGGTGCACTTCGGCGCAGCAGTCCGGGGACCCGACCTGACAGCCTGCAGACCAAGGCAGCCGACGAGGGCGAGGTGGTCTTGCCCTTGAAGTTTGGTTTGGGGGGTTTGGCTTTGGGGGGGTTTGGGGGGGTTTGGGGGGTTTGGGGGGGCTCCCCACACACACCCCAGAAAATGGAAGGTAATTCCAGTTATGGAAGAAACCTCATTCTTCCCGTGATTGTTCATGGGAAGATGGACTAGGGGAATGAAATTGGGGACTTTTCTCGGGGTCGAAACCTGAGCCGGGCCGGTTACTCACTTTTTGAGTTCTGGGAATTTACTCACAATCACACGCCATTTTAGGGCTTCTCTGGGGTTTGGGGGGGTTTGGGGGGGTTTGCGGGGGTTTGGGTTGTAGAATTCTTTTTCAAAGCCTATTACTGTTTTTCCCGTTTCGGGTTCTCATGTTTCCAAGGAATTGGGCCCAATGAAAGATGCGCCTTTGCAGCGCCGAAAGGGGAAGTCGAAGGCCCAATTCCAGCTCAGAATTTAGGGAGATGGAAGGCTGCAAAAAATGATGAGGGAAGACCGGGAAAGAAATTTACAAGGGGTTGGATAGACCTCAGTTGCTAAGGCCCCGGTGTTCCTTCCCCTTGCCCCATGGTCGACCTGGCTTGGGCTAAGACACTGAGAATGCAATGCCTTTCTCCCTGGGGTCAGGCACCCAATGCAACTGTACGGAAATGTACGGAACATATGTTTGGCTATTTGGTTGGATCGTTGGTTACTTCAACTTTTTGGTTGAAACAGCTGGACCCACAAAAAGTCAACATTTCTTTTGCAGAGGGGTCGTTGCAGCAGCCCAGATATGTACCAACCGTTCCGGTTGTGCCTTTCTTGTGAGCTGGTTTTTGGCAAATCAACCTGTGCATTCTTGGCCATTGGCTTGGGATTGATGGTTGCGAAGTCCATGTTGCACCACCTAAGAAACCCTGGAGTGACACGATCCCCCTGTAAAATCAAACAAGCAACGGGTTCTTCCAGATTTCGAGAGTGGTGCGAACGGAGTTCGCATAGCACGCATGGAGTCAGAATGAAAGAAATCGGCTTACCATCTCAAGCCTTTGTCCAGCGCGCTTTGTCTCCAAGGCACACACGGACGGGACTGCTCCGCATCTCCCGCAGGGAGGAGGATCTGAGTTCCGTGCGCGAGGCGCATGGGTGACGTCCTTCTACCTCCAGCTTGTGTTGGGTTGGCTTTTGACTTGGTGTTGCCTCTTTATTTTAGGTTCACTAAACATGGAACATAGTCAAACATAAGAGTGTTTCATGGGGGGGGTACCACGTTTGGAGTGGTTTGAAAGGGACACCAAAAGGAAACTCGCCATTTTGGGAGTCGCTGCTCGCACCGCAGGCCTGGGCTCAGACGATTAGGAAGTCCTTCGTTGGGGGGATGACCGTCGAACATTTGGTTTTAAGGAGAGCTTTTTCAGCGATCAAGAAAAAAAGGGATGACCATCAAAAACCGAAGGGGCATTTTCAGCAATCCAGGAAAAACTGTCCGGTGTCAACAAAAACGATTTTGGGCTGGGAAGAGCCCAGGGCGGTGCAATGACGCTGACGCCGAGCCAAAGCTCTGAGGACTGTGGGAGCTCTAGGTCCAGCCACTGGTCCGGCAGGTCCAGCGTTTCTGCGGAGGTCCAGGCGTGCCAAGCTCCGGCGATGGGCCATTTGACGGTTTCTGCGGGCCTAGATCTTTTTTTGGGGGAGGGTGCTATTAAATAGACTACATAAAAAAGGGTACCCCTATTCTAACCTCTCTACTGGAGGACCTCCTCTCAAGTTCCCTTTGCTTGAGCTGGCAAGCTTGGTGCCTACAGGGACCACAACTTTTGAAGTCCCAACATGAGGGTACCCCTTTTTGCAAGGTTGGCCTAAAGAGCAAGAACGCACCAGAAAACAAACAGAACCGGGGTAAGTCAAGGTACGGCAAAGTGGGTAGACTGCTTTTGGCGGCTTTTTGGGTAACTAGCATGTGTCCAAAACCGATCTCAGGCCACAAGGGGAGCATCTGCCCATGTCCTTGGCTGCCATGGCTCTCCTTGGCGAGTGGGCAGCCAACATCAACCCTATCGCACAGTCACATGAAGCAAGCCCGGTGTTTGCTTTTTACAACTCCTTGCTGCAGAGATTCGACTTGGAACTATCCATCATTCTCATTTGGAATCTCCTTTTGGGGGTGGGTAGATTGCTTGGGTGTTCGGTTCGCCAAGGTCGTAAGTCGTTGCGGGTGTTGGTATCCTAGGTTGTAACCCACTCAGAAACCTCCCACTAGTGGGGTTCACCCAGTCACTGGGTAATAAAAATGTTATATCCCATTTGTCTAATGCAGTCAGGTTGAGCGGGTTCAGGTTCCTTAAGTGGGCTTCACCCAGTGGCTTGGATTTCCCATTTGCCCACCCCGAACAAAACTCGGCATGACCTAAGCCGTTCACGACCCATGGCCGCGAGCCAAAAGCCGCGAGGCCGCCGCCATGCGGCGAGTGGTGGAGTTCATGGCCCAGAAGCAGCTCACGCGGAAAGAGGTCTTGCGGAGCACCCACGCTTACCAGGTGCGCGGAAGGGGGGGAAGGCTCGGGGCTCGGGAAAAGCACGGAACTCGCACTTCACTTGTTGGGCTTGATTGTCATTTTGGCAGAGGTTTGGAAGTTTTGTTTGGCCAACATACTCAGGAAGTGAGGAAATTTGGACCCCGCAATCTTCGGATCTTGTGGTTTCAACCCAATCTAAACTAGAAGAATGGGTGGCCCGAAAGTGAAATATATAGTGAGCGAAGCAGGTTCTCTGCGCTAGTGGCCTCTGCGCAGTTCATTATATAAGTTCCTCTGCGCAAGTTCTCTGGGCAAACTTCTCTGCTCTGTGCAAGTTTCTCTGCGCAAGCTCTCTGCGTAACTATCTTTCTGCAAGTTTCTCTGTGCAAGCTATTTTTTGGCGCGTCGTTCTCAATGAACAAGGTCCAAGCAAGTACCGCAGAGAGTTGCAAAACACCTCAGTTTTTGTACATCGACCTTGCAGAGGGTTGCGCGGGAACTGCGACAAGTATAATAAGCCTACAGTTTTGGCACAGTGCAGCAACCGCAAAAAGTAGAGCAGCCCGCAGCTTTTGCCCATTAAAGGACAGCCCAGAGAGTTGTTTGAACGAACAATACCCCTAGCTGGGCCTGGGTTTTTGAAGCCGCTGAAAGCACGTAGTTTGTCTCACGATAGAGGTTTATTGGAAGTTTTTTTTCCAAACATGTCCAGAATTCAAATGAGCGGCGTTTTTGCTCGCAAGCCAGTTTAGTAGGGAGAGGGACACTATGATTGACAATGTGCACCGCGCCACACGCGCGAAAGCAGGCAGAAGGCTTCGCGGAAGGGATTTCTTGCGAGGAAGGTTTGCGGAAGCTTTGTGAGATTGAATGTTCAGTATGACGTGGAAAAGCACAGGGGAACAATGGTAGTGGAAGCAGAAAGGTGTTGCTGCGTACAGGAAGCGAAGCGCTTGCTGGAAGAGCAATTGCCAACAGCAAGCCAAGAAGACCAAAACAGCTGGCACATTTCGCGGAAGGTTTGCGGAGGGTTTGCGGAAGCTCCGCGAACGTGTGGCCCCAAATTTGCAGGCAAGTGCGCACGTAGCACGGCCCAATGGGGCCCAAGCCTGCACAGGCTGCAGCGAAACATTACTGTCCTTTCTGCGCCAACACTCGTGGAAGCAAATCTCGCAAAACAAGCGCCGCGGAAGGTTTGTGGAAGCAACCCGTAAAACACGTGCCGCGGAAGTTCGCGAAAGGGGCCTCTTGGCCCGCGGCAATTGAATAATGTTCAATCAAGTTTGTACGGAATACAGAAAACAATCGCTCAATCAATGCTTAACAGGAAACAATTCAAGTAGATGTTTGTTTATGCAGCAAAAGGTTCAAAAAGGCATTCCTTGCCAAATATGGCGAATACGCAGCTTGACTAGACCTTGAAAAATGCGGAACCCATGTGGGCACAGCTCAGGATCCGGAGCTCCGTCAGGTTTATGGCCGATGGATTTTGAAGTAATATCCGACTGCCGCACCCAGCTGCCGTGACAGACGGATGCGACAGACAGCTGTGACAAAGCCTGGGGCAGCCAGGACCGTGACTGATAGCCAGCGGGGCCACCGGCAGACGCCCTTGGCAGGCCAGGACAGCGCCTGAGGTGCCACCCTCCCAGACCGAAGGGCCCAAGCAAATTTGACAAGTTTGAGCTACAAAGCACCAGGCGCCAGGCGCTCGCTTTTGATTGTGTCTCTAAAGGGCTTAGAGAGCAGCGTGCCGCCGAAGCTTGCGGAGCAGCAAGACCCGTTGATGCTGACGACGATATTGAGGAAGATTTTGCGCCGCACCCTTTGCACCCAACACGTTCAACAGATTCCCAGCTGCTACCACCCCATGTAGGATCTGGGGGCTACAGATTCTTGCAAGAGCTTGTCTGGCCCTCAAAGAACCAAACCAGGCAAACTAAGAGTAGGGGTCCAAAAATGATGTGTCTCCTTCTGGCGTCCCTTCAAAAAAGGACATCCAAAAACAACGACCCACACTTCTAAACAGGTTTCCTTGAAAAGCAGACACGGTCATTGTGACCCGTTTGTTTTAAACACTAGTAGCGCTCAGCTTGAACTTGCTCAAGCGATTCCAGATGCCTGCGTGCCTGCTAGGCTTTCTCTTCCTGGGGGGCAGCTTTGCGGCCGAATGTCAACAGTGGGGACCTGCACGACCGCAGCAAAATCACAGATGACATCCAGGACAGCTTCTGGTTGTTGAACAACCACTTCGGACACGCCGGGATTTGTGGTTTATCAGCCGCTCATAGGGCTTCATCCATCCCGAGTAGTGCAGGAGTTCTTTGCGAAACACAGGCAAGCCGGGAACCAGGAATAATCAGACCACGCCGAGCCCTTCCGATTCCACACGTTTTCTACACGGTTTCTCTCTAAGTTGATGAAAGGGACATTCTGCGAAGGAGGCAGGCTTCCTTCCGGGCTTCATTTGGGAACAATTGGTTTTGTCAGGACTTTTGGAGCCACGCGTGGCTTGGGAATTCTTGGGGCAAGTTCCTTACGCTCCTGGTGATGTACAATGGCCGGCCCGCCTTGTGGGTGGGAATCTGCAGCGCCCTTTTGGGGATCGCACTCTGTGTGCTGGGCATCTTGCCGGGCTCCACCCGGGGCTTTCCTTCCGTATTGACCAGGACGGGGTCGCTACAAGTGGTGCCGTGATGTGGGTCTCGAGTGCTGTAGTGCGACACCAGCCGCTATTGCGCATACCTGGGTCTTCCATTTGGTCACTTTTTGGGGCTCCTGGGCATTTGTTTGCTCGTTTCAGATTTTTAGCGGAAAAACTATAAATGAGCGGAAATCTTGATTTGCAAGTTGTCTCCCGGAAATCGGCGGGAAATGAGCGGAAATGAGCGGAAATGCGCGGACACGCACCAGAACCACTTTGCAATTGAGCGTGTTCTTTCGAATTGAGCGTTTTTTGGATGAAATGAGCATATTTTTGCTCGAAACGGGAAAATCCAGAAAAACAGTGCCCACGGAAGGCCCAGGTATGACCAGCGAGAAAACACCCGACCCGCCTAGAACCCTCCCCCTCCCCCCCCCCCCCCCCGGCAAGGGTGAAGTCGATGAAGCGCAAGGCAGGCGTGCTCAACTGTGTCTTTTGCAAGCGCGGCAACTCCCCCCCCTGGTTAACGCAACATGTTGCAGCCCGAAGCGAAGAGATAGAGACATGGCAATTAACTGGTATGCTCCAGCACAGCAGTTTCTACAATGACACTTGGCTTACAGCAGCTGGCTTTGATCAAAGTGTGGCCGTGATTTCTTTGTTTGCCTTCCATGCCCACTGCCCAATGCCGCTTGTGTCCCCCTGCAAGTCGGGCCGGCTTTCACATGCGTGAGCGAAGTGGGCCGGAGTAATGTCTTTCGACCTTTCCCGCATGGAAGGCCTCTGACGCAGCGAGAGCAACTGTGCGAGACGCATCACATTCGGTAAGAGAAGTCAGTGCAGATGTACGTAAGCCCTCCAGGACTTCATAGCCTCTCTCAAACATCTTGCAACAGGCCTAAACAAACCTATGTTGGAACCGCACGGACCACTGCAAATCTACTGCTGTTTCCGGTTAAGCTGATTCTCTGAACTTTG